GGGGGCGGGGGCGACCCCGCCGGTCTCCCTGGAGCCGCCGCCGTCGCGGCCGCAGGTCCCGGATGTAGCGGCAGGAGCGGGGCTGGCGGTGGGAGCGGGTGGGGGGCGCCGCTGGGGCCGGGGAATGGGCGTGTAGGGAGCAGGGAAGGAAGGAAGGGAACGAGCGAGCGAGGGAGGAGAAGAGCCGGACGGAGATTCCCGCCCGGCGCCCGAGGTAGCCGCCCCCATCGGGGTCCCCCTCCGCCGCCTGCGGGCTGCGCGCCCCTTCCATCCGCCCCAGGGCGCCACCGCCGGGATGAGCAGCTCGCGGAACAACCGGGTGATGGTGGAAGGAGTCGGGGCCCGGGTCGTCCGCGGCCCGGACTGGAAGTGGGGGAAGCAGGATGGCGGCGAGGGCCATGTGGGCACCGTGCGCAGCTTCGAGAGCCCCGAGGAGGTGGTCGTGGTGTGGGACAACGGCACCGCCGCCAACTACCGCTGCTCCGGGGCCTACGACCTCCGCATCCTCGACAGCGCGCCCACCGGTGAGCGGGGAGGGAATGGAGGCTCCTCCACCCCCACGGCCGTGGGTGCGGGCGCAGCACCCCGGGGTGCTGGGGGGTCCCGTCCTGGGGAGCGGATTGCGCCCTTCCTTCTCCTTTTAGAGGTGCGCCTTTGCCTTGGATTTGGGCGGGGGGGAGTCAGGCACCCTCCCCCTCCCCGCGTGCTGTCTGTGCGCGTCCGTGTGTCTGTGTGTGCACACGCAAACTTGGGACAAATGTACAGCGCGGGGCCGCGGCGACAGAAGTTGTCCCGGGACTGCTAAATTGGGGTAGACAAAGCAAAAGTGATCTGCCACAGACTGCAGGTTCCTGTTGTGCTGGGGAGGAGGTGGAGAGTGGAAGCCGAGAGGGTGATACACCAAGGTTTGGGTTTGCTTTCACACCCCGATCTCCACCTTTTGAATTTATATTTCAGAGCAGTTTTGTAAAGTAGTGTCAGTTATCCTTGAATCACTAGTATAGGGATAATTGCAGAGAAGGTGTACTACCTTTTTAGTAAAGGTTACATTAAGTGGTTGAAATACAGTGGTTTTGTGCCTGTAATCTGCATGTTGCCTTTTATCTGTATTGCCAAAGCTGCTGTAAAATAGTAAAGGTACTGGGAGGAAAAAAGTGCATGGGTTCATTCTTTTAATTACTTGGCTGCTTGATATTTGTGCTTTAAATCCAGTCATTTTGGACAATGGAATTTGATCTGGACAGACATTATGCGGCAGTGTTAGTGTTGCAAACACTGCAGGGAAATGTTCATTTTAGCACCTGTTTTTACAGTGAAAACTCACACAGAAAAATATAAATCTTGTTAAGTTTAATCAGAAATATCGTGAGGTGGCTTTTTAACCAGTTAGGATTGCCTCAGTAATGAGATGTTTGCACTGATTTGTTGAGGCACTTGAGCTTTACTCTTTTGTAACGTGTCTTTCACTTATGATGGAGAGACCATCTTTGTGCCACCTATGTGTAGTGTTACAGCAAGGAAAATTATAGCAGTAGATTGAAGCTAAAAGATTTGAGGAGACAGAATCATGGAATTCATTCCGACTAATTAAAAACACAAAAAGAACCCCAAGTATTGCATGGTTATCCTTTGAGATGGATTTAATTTTTCAGTGACTGGGTACGTTCCTCTCTGTTGGCATGATGATGTTATTTTTTTTGAAAATCCTTTTGCATTGGGCTTTTAAAGCAAGAAAGGGGAGTCTTTCAAGTTGTGCTTGTGTTGCAGATGTTTATGCTTAGAAACTTTCACCTGTGTTTGATGTCATGTAGAAACCAGTGGGACTGCTTCTGCTTAGAACTGAAGTGTATGCATAAATGTTGCATATGAGTCTCGAATGCTCATTGTTCTGGCCCCGCCTGACGTATTTGCAAGCAGATGGTGTCCTCTTTAACTATCTGGAAGCCCAGGCTTAATACTCAGTTTTGAAACTGTCATGGTTTTATTTCTGGTTTTTTTGCTTTATTCCTTCTGATTTTCGTTTCTGCTCATATTTTTGTATTAGAATTTTAACTTCTGTTTCAGATAAAACTGTGTACATTGTGTCACACACATTGCTGTTGTCACACTTAGCAAAATGGTGTCTCTTCCTGAGGTTTCTGGTGAGCATCATCCTCATCCTCATGGAACTGTTGTGTGGATGTACTTAGGGTTGCATTTTGCTAGAGGAAATTTACGTTTCAGGTCTTTATTCCCTGGAGATAGGAAGAGTAAATATCTGTAAAGTAGTTGTAACAAAAGGATAAAGTTAATAGAGTTGAGGTGCTGTCAGTTTGGACTGAAATCCTGGGTTTACTGCTGATTCACTTTGTAGTCTTGTCTAAATCACTTCCCTTCTTTACTTTTTGGTAATGCTTTATTTTTTCTCTATAGTGGTGACTGTCCATTGTTTAGAGTAAGGGAGTCTGACTTCGGATGATCGTTTGATACTTCTCTAGGGACATTAATGTAAGTGGGAGTAGGTGACAGGAATTTCTTGTGGTAGTATTGATGATGCTGTTGAGCAAGGAAATGTTATAAAGCATGGGGTGGCTTTTTGTTTGATGATACTAAGTGGAGTGTGTGTCATGGCTTTTATAGTTTAAAATGAAAAAAGTTCTCTGGTTCATGGATTTCCAGTCACAATATGATTGTAAGTTTATAGTGAAAATAAATATAAAAGTACAATAGTAAAAATAAAAATTGGTTATTCCTGGGAGTTCGTTCTGTTATGTATTCAAAACCAGTCGTGATTATAGGTTCTTAGAAGTAGTGCTGGCAGCCAGAGTTACTGTGTTGAGTTTGAGGCCTGTGCAGCTGGGAATGGTAGTTCAATAGGTGCTTCAGGAACTTACTGTGTTACAGAAGTAATGTTTGAAGTTCATTCTATTTTTTTTATTTCTATTTTTTTTAAATGGCAAGTTGAGTTTGGTTTGTGTATGTGCATATATATGTGTATGCCAGAACTATGCTTCATAGACTTCAAAAATACACTGTTCTTGTCTTTCAGTGGTTGTAGGCTGTTACCAGCATTGTGTGACACTGTTAACATATTAGAAAACTTGAATAGCCTTTGTGCTAAGATACTAGGATGGTCTTCTTAAAATGAAAACTCATGTACATGAGTAAGAAGAATGTCTTATAAACACTTTGCTCCAGATGTAGTCATCTGGGTCATGAGGGACTTGTGATATGAAGTTTGGGATTGTTTTGGTTATGTCTACCAGGCTTGCTGTATTAGCTGTCCTTTGGTGTGATCATATTTACATTGCCCTACATTGCTTTAAGTGAGACAGGGCACTTGAGAGGGATTGGTAAAGCAAACAGTTGAAAAGAATCAAAATTTCACATAGAAGTAAAACTTAAGTAGGTCCTGTGTAGGTGGCTTCTCAGTGGAACAAGTGGTCAGATGTGATGCATCAGTAGTGCAGTGTGGCTGTTCAATTACTTGCAAATCTGTTTTTTCTGTGAAGTAGCCTTTTGCCAGGATCTACAAGTCTTGAGTGTCCCCCTTTTTTGGTAGTGTTGTGGAAAAGAAACAGAAAGGAGTAGTTTTCCGAGTTGCTGAAGAGAAGCAGGAAAGTTGTAATCCAAGCTTTTTATTTAGTAAGAAAGGCAGCCTTTTACCTGAGGTAAAGGCCAGACAAGTAGCATGTTTGTAGAGAAAAATCTGGCTGTATTCAGATAATAGTAATGAACATTACAGAAACTTTTTCTGTTTATTCTCTTTTTGAAGATTTGCTTTCTATAAAGCTTAGAATTCATTTGTCATTCATTTCCTTTCTTATACAATTGGTTCAAAGTAGCAATTATTTTTTTCCTGCCAAAAATGTTTACCAAATTGTGTTTGAATGAGGGGAGGTGGTGGAGGGGATCAGGAAATAGAAATCTTGATACAGAATTATCCCCCAGCTGGAGTGTGCAGCAGTGCAGTCTGGAAAGCATTGTGTGCTGTATTCTGGTAATATTGAAAATCTAGGTGTTACCTGTGGAAGATGAGTGGCTTTCTGTACTTGCATTAATAGGTTTTTGTACTTGAAAAGTGGCATAATTGATCATGAAGTCAACTATGTCAAAACATTTTAAAAGACAGAGCACCTATGATTTATCCTGCATATTTATTTGTTCTTGCTTTAGAACATCAAGTGTAATATATGGCAAGTTGTCTTAGTCAAGATTTTTTTAGTGGCTACTTGTAAATATTTACAGGAGCCCTCACAAATTAAAAAAAAAATAATAGCTTCCTGATAATACACTATCCTGAGTAGTGATATTTGGGAGGCCTGTTTTTTTTTTAAATAAATGTGTTCTTTTTTCTTCCTGCCCTTCCCCCTTGTCTCCTACACTATAATCCTCTCCCTTCCTGTGTATCTTGTGATTCCCTTACCAGATAGGACACATGCTTTAGCAAGTCTGGCATTTTGCATCTATAATAATAATAGTTGGTCAGTTGGCTACTTCCAAATGGTGTATTTAGTAGAAGAGTTATGTTTGTGGGAACACTGGTTGGAGTTTTCATGCAGATTTTCAGAATCTAACTGGTTATCTCTAAGAATTCTTTGTTTTCAATTTACCTGGAGTCTGGCTGTAGTGTAAAAATAGTCTGGAGTGAAGGAATAGGAAGAACAAAATACTGTTACTGCTTTTTAAGTCAGTGTGTATACAAACCAATTTTTTAAGTTGTTTATAGAGTCCCATACCTGATGGTAGTATTGTCATGATATGCATGGATTTTGGTTCATTACAGTTGAGTAGAGAGTAATGACTCCATTGGAAACCAGATTTTGTTTGTTCTGAGAAGGGAAGTAACTATTGGCGTCTTCTGTGTTTAAGTGAGTGATGTGGATACCCTTTGTACATCTGATTTTACTGTTAAAATCCCTTTATTGGACAGCTGTAGATTACCATCTAATTATCTTCAGTACAAAAGAACTATTTGTAACAAATTAAAATAGCAATTTGAGCAACACTGCTTTTATTTCCTTTCACAGCTGTAAGAGTGAGCATGGGTTTCAAAAACTCATGAAAGGCTGTAAAATTGATGTATAAATGAGTAGACAGAGGAATGGTGGGCTAGGTAATCCAGAGAGGATTTGGGAAGAGATGAGAAAATTGAAGATAACCATGACATTAAGGTGGAAAACTAATATGAAATTCAGATAGTAAAAAGCATTAATGACGAGTGGACATCAGGAATATTGGATTTTGTGGTCTACTAAAGGTGAATGTACATAAGGAAATAGCCAGTATTTAGAAGTCATTAGGCATGGTGAAAGTACGCTTCTCATTACCTGGTTTGTTTTGGTTTTTAAAGTGTATATGTCACAACACCTGTTTAATTTTGAAATAGCCTGATTCTAGGAAATTTTGAAGATTATTTAGAAGTTTTGTTTTTTTTGTTAATCTCAGTTTAGAGAGCTAAAGCGCTCTTTTGGTGCACAGCTGGTCAGCTATAGTGCTGCTGTTTGAATTTTGAAGATTTTATGGCGCTTTAATTTATTCTAGTAGTTTAATGAATGCATTCTTTCCTAATATAATATAAACTTTGTAACATTTGTGTTTCTCAAGCTTTCTTAAACACCCTTCCTTTTGAAGAGGGAAAGAGTTTATGTGAGAGATTTTGCTTTTGGGTCAGGGTTTTAGTTTGGCTCCAGAGCCTACACTTGATGCGGTCTCCTGGTTGTTCTTACATACTGTGCTTTGATTTTACATAATGGATGGTTTTGAACTAGTTTTGAACTTTGAAGTTTTTTGCATAAACTTCTTTGCTTTTTGGTAAAAGTAAATTGAAATACATGATCTCAATGCTGATGAGCCTTCAGTTCACTGGGATAGAACTAAATTAGTCTGAAACACTGCACATAGTATCTCTTTCCCTCCCCCTGAGTATGTGTAGTGGCGCTGTCAGGTCCTCAGTGCTGAGTGTGTGGATGGTTAACCAGCATATGGACACCTCGGTGATGCAGGTTGTCCCCGTGCCACCCATGGAGGGCCACAGTGGAGCAGGAATCCTCACTGCAGCCCATGGGGGAGCCCATGCTTAAAGAGTGTTTTCCTGAAGGGGTAAAGTTTGTGGAGAGGACCAATAATGGGGCACATAATAAAGGAGACAAGTATGAGGAGCTGTTATGGGCTGACCCTCCATTCCCCATCTACATGAAAAAGGTTGCCAAGCACTGGGACAGACTGCCCAGAGGAGTGGTTGAATAACCATTTAGAAGTATTTAGAAGAGGTGTAGGCAAGGTGCTTAGGGATGTGGTTTAGTGGTGATCTTGGTGGTGTTAGGTTGGATGGTCTTAAGGGCCTTTTCCAACCAAAAAGATTGTGAGTTTAATTTACCCTGGGAAAAAGCAGGGAGATAGAGGAGTTTGGAATGAAGGAATGCAGTTGTCTCTGTGAAGAAGGTGAAGTATAGGGAGAAGGTGTTTTAGTTTTTGTTTTCCTCACCATTCTCTCTTTTTTTAAAATTAGCTATACATTTTCCCCAAGTCAAATCTCTTTTGCCTGTGATGGTGAATAATTTAACTTTTAGCTTGACCTAAGCTGTTTCATTTTGTTTTCACTCTTTGTCCTGTTGAAGAGGGAGAGTGAGAGACTGATTGGGAGGACACCTAACGGCCAGGCAAGGTCAACCAACCACCCTTGTGTACCTATAATATCTAATCAAACTTTAATTCTTCCAGTAGTCTTTAACATGTATCATTGATCTAATTTTTTTTATATTATGACCATGAATAAGAGTTTAGTATCACATTATGTGATCAGTAGTAGCACCTTGTTTTACCCTTTTTTTTAGCATTGGAAGTTCAAGGTCTCTTAATCCACTGTGACCAGAAGCTTACAAATCTGCTTCTTCCTCCAGATCTCTGGTGCAGTGGTTAGACATTCTGTAAGAGGATTACTTGCCTACTCCTGCCTTCCAGTTCTTTGTTTCTCATGGCAGTAGTGTTGTGCAGCACCTTGAAGAATGAGGCTGGGAAATCAGTTCAGCTGAGTATTTTTCCTCCTGGCTGTTTTCCAGCCTGGTATGTTTCTTGGTGCAGTTTACATCTCAGATCTGCAAAAACCTTTTGCTCACATAATGGAAAGAATTGAGTAGCGTGGTCAGGTGAGGCATGCGCTGAAGTGGCTGTTGCTGCTGGAATCATGTGTCAGGGAATGGATGAAGAAAGGCCATATCTATCAGGATGTTGTTTAGGGATCTGTGAGATACAGGTATGTCCCTTTAGAAAAGACACTTCAACTACAGGCATGCACTGTTCTGTTTTTTAAGTCCAAGACGCTATGGTCAGTAAAATTACTTGAGTCAAATATCTTTGTACAATGTTTTTCTTAAATCTTTGATAAAGAAATTTTGCTGAGTTTTGCATAGCTGCTTTTGCCTTACTGTCAAGAAGTGTTTAGTTTTAAGTTTATAGTGAGATGACCTATTCTGTATCAAGTGATTCCTGATTATACCTCTTTCGCCCTTTTTCCTGGTGTTTGGTCAAGTGGAAGAATCCTAAAACACCCAATTCCTTCCCAGAAGTTCAATAGACGTTAAACAATATAATCAAAAAATGTGTAACTTCTGTGTGAAGTGCCAATTTAGAAATCAATTATAAATAAAACAAAAACAAATACTACCTCTCAACCCCAAGTACTATAACTAGTTAGACTTTTTAAACAAGGTGACAAAAACACTAACAAGGTATTTCAGTGCTCTTATTGCAGCCACTTTTGAAGACTTTGGCTTTGAAACAAGAAAAAAAAAATAGTAAAATGCTTCAATACTATCCCTAGAGCAACTCTAGTCCTACTGAGAGTAAAGGGAAGGGCTGCAAATGTGTTGCAGATAGTTTTAAGGGCGTCTGTTATGGGAAGAGAATGAGGGATCTATCTGCTGGTGCTTAGTCTGGGGAAGAGAAGGCTCAGGGAGATCTTAAGGGTGTATATAAATACCTGATGAATGTTCTAAAGAGGATGGAGCCAGGCTCTTTTCAGTGGTGTCAAGTGACAGGGCAAGAGGCAATGAGCACAAATTGAAGTACAGGAATTTCCGCTGAAACAGAAGAAACATTTTTGTTCTAGGGATGCTTGAACACTGGAATATGCTGTGTTTTGGAGTCTGTTCTTGGTGGTGCTCAAAACCTGACTGGATATGATCCTGGGCATACAGCTCTCGCGTACCCTGCTTTGAGCAGTGGTTGTTGGAACAGGCAATTTCCAAATGTTACTTCCAACCTTGGCTATTATATGTTTCTGTGAAATGATCGAATATGAAGGCATTTCCTTCAGTTTTGCCTCTTCAGCTGTTGATTTTTCTTTGCTACAGATGGTTCAGCTGTTGGGTGTAAGTGACTAATAGTGATTTTATAGTGAATTTGGCAGTCATTTCTGAAAGCATCCCTTCTGGAGGGGGCAAAATCCATTCTTTTTCCTCACTTAATTTCAGATTGATCTGGGTTTTTTTTTAAGGGGAAGTGACTGGGAAACTTCTATGATACTTTAGCTTCTTAGTGCTCATTTCTGTCTAGTGCTACAAACTGAATGCTAGTGCTTCTCTCTTCTATTGCTCAATTTTTTCCAAACAGCAGCAGAATTTGATTTTTTTTAAATAAACTTGAGGCTGTTCACTGTATTCAGAATGGGTGGATGGAAATTTTGTGACTGATCATTTTCACTGTGCTGTAGCTTGGCAGAGCTGTAAGACTAAAGTCATACAAAGTGGATCAGTTTTTGTGAGAAGGCTTGTGAGAGCCCATGCTGGTGGGTTACATCTGGTCTGTCTCTGACACAATTCTTTTTAAAAACAAAATCAGAATAACAGTAAAATGCTTCAAAAATGGGAACAGATTTTCATCAAGCTAATGGCATCTATCCAAGAGAGCTTAATTCTTTTCCTGTATAAAAAAGAATAGAGACAAACACATTTTCCAGTGTACAAAATGTGTAAGTCAAACCAGTAATTTTCAGGCTGTCAGACGCAGTGGAGCACAGTAGCCTTTGTGATAGAATGTGTGTTGATAGCTGTACTCCAGAGATAAAATTCTAGATTGCCCTGTGTCTTTTGATAAACATTTCTTATTCTTCAACTTGTAGTGAAAAGATTTCTCTTTTTTTTTTTTCTCCTTTGTATAGATGGAAGGAAGCAGACATAGCCTTCTCAGCTTTTTAAGCTTTGAGAATATAGAATATTTCAGGAGCAAACTGACAACTGGAGATACAAGGCAAAGTCCTCTATCTTTTCCCCTCAGTGATATAGGCTGATAGGGTATAAGCAGCAGCCTTTCTTTATTGTTGACTTTCTATATATGGTATATGGTTTCAAATTATAATGGTGTGCATCAGAAGTTTGTGTAGCAATGCAGCAAAGATTTTAGGTTTGTTTGTTTTTTTTGTTTCCCTTCCACAGGTATCAAGCATGATGGGACTATGTGTGATACTTGTCGACAGCAGCCTATCATTGGCATCCGATGGAAGTGTGCTGAATGCACAAATTATGACTTGTGCACAGTTTGCTATCACGGGGACAAGCATCACTTGAGGCATCGTTTTTACAGAATTACCACACCGGGAAGTGAAAGGTAAAACCTAACTTACTCCTTCTGAAATCAAGTAGGAACAGGTATTTGTGGTGAACTTTTAAACTGAATATTTGATTACTGAAATTTGGGTTAGGTAAGAGAGTGGTTCAAGGTTAGATTCTGTTTCTGGGAGGAGGATAACTAGCATAAGTCTTTGGATCTTGGAAAACCTGGAAACTTTAGGAAGAATGTAGTACAGGAAAAAGGATATGATTATTCAGTTTTGCTTAATCTCCTTGAGGCTTTCCTAGTTTTTGTGTTATCATATAGCAGCTTTAAAACAAAGGCAATTACCTTTACATTATGTGTTATCATAAAAAGATTTGTTGATGAATTCTGAATATGAAGGTTTAATTAGGTTCAATAATGGTGTGGACAGACTGAGGGAATATACCTTCCTTGAAGGTTATGGAAAACAGAATGATCTGGGAATAAAAACTTGGACTTGAACGGCTTAAACTGCTCACTACAGGAAGCAGAGAAAAGATGCTATGCGGGGTTGTTCTACCCTTGCCTTGGTTTTCATATTCTTAAACACCTGTTATCACCTCTCAGTGGAGAACTCTGAAAAAAATTGCATTTAGTGTGTTCTTGCATAGGTGTTCTTGACTTTAAATAATTTGTCTCAGTCCAAAGCCCCTCTCTGTTATGATTTATCTACCAGATAAGTGAGAGCAGTGATATTTGCCTGCTGCTAAATAGTTTGAGAGCTGCAGGAAAACACTGTGTAAAGGCTAGACACTGTGGTGTCACCTCTGTGATGTTTCCTGAATGTTCTTTCATGAAATCATCAAAATATTTTCTTTTTCAATATGGTACTCATTTGAATGTGACGTATAAGACAACATCTCTATCTTCTTCTTGGAGAAGTTAGATTTACAAGGATTTTGTAAATTAGTGGTGTGCTTTAAACAGTTCTTTCACGGTTCAGGGAAGTGGCTGGAGCACACAACCTGATGTCTCAAATTGTGTCTTATAGGGTCTGTGTTTAAGTTTTAACTGTGTCTCAGATGGCCAAGTCAGTGGGTTATTCAAAATGTAAGAACTTTTTTTTTTTTTTTAGCTTTAGGTACCAAATAGGTATCATAAACTTATTCTCAATTGGAATGTTGAATACAGAACAAGATTTAGAAGCTGGACTTAGAGCTGCTGGCTTAGTGTAGTTAAAGTAGAATAGGTGACAAAATACATATGTTCTCTATTTATTTCCTTTTTTTTTTAAGTCTTGTTTCTTTGAGAATGCTTGCCAGACTTTCTTTTCTTTCTTAGGCTGACGTTTCCTTTGTAGTTTTAAGAGGTTGGTTATGGTAAATACAGCGCAAGTTTTAGTTTTGAAGATCGATTGTACACTGTGTAATATTGCTGGAAATTTTTTGCATCTTGTCACTTTCTTCCTTTCTTTGTTTACTCTCACTGAGCTCTTATCTAGAAGGCAGCTTCTTCTGCCAAGGAGCTGTATCTATTGGATCAAGCTTAGCTGAGAAAAAATGATGGAAGTTAACTGTTTTAGGGAGGAGAAAATAGCAAAACAGTGCTGTTGAATTTGAGGAATGTCTCACAGGAAAATGTCAAAAGACATGTAAGAACGTTTTGATGAAGGGAAGCATATGCTCTTACTATTTTATTTTTGAGTTTGGGATATCATATGGGTGGCATGATGAAGTAGTGTGTGTAGGTTTGTGTCTCAGTTTTCTAGGTGTTGAGAACTTTTTAAGAAGTTTCTCTAAACAAGTTTACCTTGTGTTTTCAATAACTTTAATTTTTCTTAGGGAAAAAAAGTGGTCAGTATTTTCACATTCTCTTTGCATTGATTGTAACAGTTGAACTTTTTCCTTGTGTGCCATCTGCTGGATGTTAAAAGTTAGCAGGAGGCTGAGAAATTTCGTGAAGTGGTCAGGAAACATTCTGAATGTCAGCTGAAAAATTCTTTTGTCTGGCAACGTTCCTGGCGTGAAGTAAGAAGTCTCGTTGCATGAAAATTGGTGGCTTTTGAGATGATTATTTCTAGTTAAACAATCGTATACTGTTCTGTTTAGGCTTATCTACTTCAGTCCTGTTGAAGTCAGAAGGAAAAGAAGAGGTTTGCTTTAAAAAAAATGCATAATATGACTGAAAAAATGGATGCTACTATATTGACTTAAATTTGCCAAGAGATGCAGTAAAAAGCAAGTAGAAAAACTGAGGGAGGGGGGAAAAGAGATGCTCTTAATAGCATAATTCTAAATAAAAGTGACAGGGCAGTTGTGGGACAGAAGTATTGGCTCAGAGTGCATCTAAGAGAAACTGAAATATGTTTATATGGCTCTGCATATACTTTTATTATCTTAATATAAATACAGATCTATATGCAAGCATTTACAAGATGAATGCTCCTACTAGGAAGTCTGGAGAAAAATTGTTAAAATTAAAAAACTAATTATGAATATTCAATAAATCGGATGTTGGAAGATTGCGGGTTTTTGTCTTGTGTGCTGCTTGTGTGATTCATGCACTGAAATCTGCAGTTGTGGGTTATTTTTGTATTAAGATGCTCTCCTTCCCATCCCCAAAGATTTGTTTTGGACTTCCTTTATTATCTTGACATTTGTGGGTTCTTCTTTTAATAACTTCAGGGTATTGTTGGAGTCTCGACGTAAATCAAAGAAAATTACAGCAAGAGGAATCTTTGCAGGTGCCAGGGTGGTGCGAGGAGTTGACTGGCAATGGGAAGATCAAGATGGTGGCAATGGGCGTAGAGGAAAGGTAAAAATAAAACTGATTTAAATAAGAAGCTGCACCTTTTTGTTCATGTGATGGCCTCAGGGGCCTTTTAATTGTAGAGCAAAAATACAATCCTGAAAGCTACTATTTTAATTGGCTGGGCGTTTTTTAATCTTATTTTGTAATACTTAAGCATTTAGAAAGAGGAGGGTGTGTCTACCATAGCCAGTATTTTACATTTTAGTAAATCTTAATTTGCATTTTTTTACAATATCAGCACAGAATTATTTTAATGATGAATTTTTTGTCATGGTTGTCTGTTTATGATTGACTTGTAGCAACATTAAGGTCTTGAGCTTATTTCAGTATTACTAGAGAGCTGGTATAAAAACAGAGCTATCAGGAGTAACCCTGTCTAGTAATCACTGCATTCTGTAGTCTTACTGCTTGTGGGCCAGCACATTTGTGTACCTCTTGCTCTTGATTTTCAGCGCTGGTACCCTTGGGTTTTGTTTTTCACCTAATGATTATAGGAACTTCTCCAGTTTAAAATTAAAAATCTTCGCAAGTTTTGGGTGTGGATATTGTGTTACTGGCTTAGGACAATATAGGAGTGCTTTTGATGCAGTGCTATAGTGAAAATATTTGTATTTATTGAAAATTATACGGAATGATAAGTTACTAATCATAACCCTTGCATATTTTCCTTTTACAACTTCCATTTACCTTGAGAACTAATGAAGGTTTGATATCAGTATGAACATACAACAGGCATTGTAAAATATACTGTTACTTTTACCACCAAATTTGAAAACTGGATACCCTTATGTCTTGGTGACCTGATCTTTTTTGTTGAATTTATTTTTAATACACTTAAACAGCATTTAAAGGAGAGTGAAAAGTTCCTGAATATGATATTTAGCCTATTTTGTACTCTTGTTCAGATTATTTTATATCCTAGACATTTATGGAAGCCTTAGGACTTCTGGGGATTTAATTTTGAATTTTGCTGAAAGGCAATAGTAAGTTTAAATCTCTTAAAGCAAGAGATATATAAATGCGACTTTTTTCATCTCAATTATTTACCTCTTCCCATGTCAAGATACATTGAAATCTCTGAAACTTCGCAAAATGAGTCTTATCCTGCACGGTCTGCTTTGTGTACTAAATTTGTATTAGGGGGATTGTTTGCCTATACATCTGAAAATATGTATATATATATACATATATATATATATATATACATACATACATACATACACATATATATGCATATATATATTTTGCATATATAAATGTATATAAATATTTTTAAATGAGGAAAAGTACATCATATATAGAAGAAACACTGTTTAAATATAAATAAGAATGAAAGCAAATTCTGGAAACTGATTTTTTTTTTCCTTTTTTTAAATAATGGCAGTGTTTTCAGAATTTGGTGCATGGTCTCCTGATTTCAGAAATGTCAGCAAAAGACGTTTTCACTCTCCTTTTGTACTGTTGTTAAACATAATGGCTCTGCAAATAAAACCTTGTCTCTTAACAGTGCACAGCCAGCAGGCTAATGCAAGTTAAACCAGACATATTGAAACAATTAGAAAAAATTTTGTCTTGTTTTTCTTAGTTAGAATCTGCTTCTGGTAAGAACATATCAAAGCAGTTCAGATTTTGTTCTCTGCTTGTGTAGTTAGATAACCTCCAAATATACTAAAGAAAAATAGGCCTATAAAGTATATATTCAGACTTCTACCTTAACACACCTAGGGAATACTTGCATCAAGCAGAAAACAGCTTCAGAAAATTTTATCAGGTTTAGTAAAACTGCAATATCATTAATTATTTTGAAGAAATGAATAAGTTCAAATTGAGCTCCTGAGTCTTTGCTCTAGGAACCATTTTCTTATTTTCACAACTGAATAGGTAACTGAAATCCAAGATTGGAGTGCGTCGAGTCCACATAGCGCAGCATATGTTCTTTGGGACAATGGTGCTAAAAACCTTTACAGAGTTGGTTTTGAAGGCATGGTAAGTATAAAAGAATACAACGGGTAAAATGCATGAAGGGGGAAGGGCAGTAAGAATAACTTGTGCTTTATGGTCCTGCTTTTGTAATATGCTTTGTCAGTTTGCATGCTGGTAGTCAGGTCATTGTGAATCCAGCTGTAAGGGTCATGCATATGTATTAGTAAGAAAGTCTGATCTGGGAATTTATTTAATGTGAATAACTAGAAGTTAAGAGCTGCTTCCTGCCACAGTAAATATTTGCATCACACACATTTATCTTTCTGTGCTACTGTTTAAATTAAAATTCAGAAAAGACTGGCAAGCGTAGTTACAAACTTTTTAAAAAACCCTGTTCTTCAACTCCTGAACTCTTCAGCTAGGTTCAAAATTCGGTGTGATTACTGCAAGATTTGCAATTTTTAAATTACTGTCAACACTTGGAGTGCTATTGAGAGCAATTTTCTTTTTGCAAATGGAAAGGTGTTGAATTAAATTACGACCTTAATTTGCTTTAGTGGTAAATTTTTCTGTTTCCTTTTGAAGCTTCTCCAGCAACTTCTTTAGCTTTAGAGAGAAAATGGGTCAGACTCTAGCCTAAGTGCCTTCTGTTGCTGGGTTTTCTTATCCTAATGTGGGTCAAGGAAAGGTTACTTTGATTATCAACTGCTTAAAACATTTTAATTAGCATTTTCTCTGCATGATTTTTGTTTGATTGTGCAGAGGGAAATCATGTTAATTTGACATTGAAGTGTCATTTTGTCAGATGTGTAACAGTATAAAATGTTAGACAATGACCAGTTACTTTTTTGAATGTAAACTATTTGACCTTATATAGCCTCACTTCAAGTTTATTTTTATACTTAAAATGAAATAAATACCACTTTTGTGGTAAATACAATAGTGTTACTTTTAAAAAGAGTAAACTAATTTAGTGCGGGTCAGCTTTTCTGATGCGTTAAGATCCTAGAGATAAAATACGAATCAGTATTAAATTATGTGCTTCATGGTGCCCTCTAGTTTTAAGGAAAATTCTTTATATACTGGCAAAAATGAATGTGTGTTGTATTTTGTAGTATAACATTAAATTAATGTTTGGTATCTTCCTTCTTGTGATACATGGGAAAGAAAGAGTTATAAGATCTGGATAGAGCAGGATACAGATCAGCTGATTTTTTTTTGTTGTTGTGTTTGTTATGACTTCAGTTGCTATGTTAAAATTTTTGATCTATGTAGTAAAAGTGCTGTGGAGTCATTGAAGATTCCTTCAGGAAAAAAGTATATTTGAGATAAGTTATATTCTGCTTTGAAACAGTTATTCCCTTAAAAAAATATATATTATTATTAAATCAACTACATTCTGTTTCCAAACTTTTGCCACCTCTGAAAGTGTTAAATATTTCTAGAAAACTCCATTAAATACTGCAACTATAAATTTGACGGGATGATGGTGACCTTTCGCACAAGTTTTGTAGAAATGCAAATATTTGGTCAATTAAAAAAAAGAATCCCGTTAAACTGTGTGTGAGAGTACATATATAGATGTTGTATTTAGGAAAATAGAGAAAATATATGTACATGTGGATGTACAGAAAGGATAATTTGAGGCTGTGTAAGTAGTGCTTACCTGGTTGTAATCCAGTCTTACACTAATTGTATCTTTGGTGTTCGGATCAAATGCAATTTTCACTTCAAACAGAATGGATTCTTGGATATCTGTGGGAGTCATTTGAATGTAATGCTTAATTTTATAACTGATTAATAATTTGTTAAGTGTACAATTCATTATTATTCTTTACTACTATTTGTGTGCTGTTACATAAAGCTAAGACTGCCAGGAAGTTCACATAAAGTTGGGGCAAACCTGTTTTGGTACTTGGAAATTGGTTTTAAAGGTCCAAAGAATGTGGAATCAACAATACTCAAGAGTGTGTACCCATGTAAATACAGCTGGGAAGAGACCCTGACTTGCAAATGGATAACACTTGACTCATGCTAATGGAGCTGATTAAAGAAACACAGCTCATTATTGTAAGTCAGTGTTCTTGTTTGATAGCTGATAGGCGGCATCTGGTCCTCAAAATTAATCTATCTGGCCTGCCAGCCTCGGGGGGGATGAGGTTTGGCTGGTGGGGTAGCAGGTGCTGTCTGAAAACATGCATTTATTTGTGGTCAGATACTTGGAGGTTTTATTTGTGTTTGCTGTGTTTACTGTTTATATATGAAGTGGCTGAGAAGTGCATCTTGCCTTTTTTTTTTGTGAAGTCTGACTTTTAAATCTGGGAGTTTCTGTTGCCACGGGCCACAAATTCCCAAAATGTATGATGCTGTTAGATCAGATAAAATGTTAGCTACATCCTTAGTAAGAATGAACTACTGTTGGCTTATATGGTTGGTTACTCTAATCGCATTTCTTACCTATGTGTATTCAGAGTCCTGAGCCAAACTGAGCTGTTAACCACATAACCTGCTTTAAAAATGTTTGAACATATCCTTTAGAAATAGAGGTCATATGGAATTAATGAGAAGATTGTGATTTTGTTTTTGGGGCTTGTGTCTGGATTTTATTTCTTTGTATCATGTGAGCTGAGGATGTAAAGCTGGCAACTTCCCTTGGTTTTCAGTGGAAAATGGTTCCATCCACAGAAGTCTCCTAAATCAGCTTTATTATATAGGAATCTTTTTCTTTCAGAATTTCTTTGCTCTGTACCGCTTGCCTTTTTTTTTTTCTGCAATTAGCCTCTCCTTGTTTCTCGTTATGTAGGATTGTGCTTTCATGTGTGTAGCCTCTGAAAGAAGTATCTGTAGTTGTCACCATCATTGTCACAGTGATCTGTAAGTCATGGTATTGTCACACCATCTGTGTTGGTGTACTTTTTTTCCACAAATTCCAAATAGTGAGTTCATAAGGGAAGTTGAGATTGTGTGCCTCTAGGTGATGGATAGTTAATGTCTTTTCATCAACTTTTATTTGGATACCCATGAAATTATTCTTTGAAATTGCTTTAGAGGATTTTAAGAATTGCTTGTTAACACATTTTTTTTTAAATAAAAGCAATGTAGATTTCTTGGTATACTAGGCATTGCATGTGTTACAAAATATACAGAAATATGCCTTCCACTGTAGTTAAAACTGTCAGATCTGTAATGTCGGTCAGATCTTCAGTCCTCTAGTCATTTATCTTGTCACCACAACAATTAAAATAAGATACTTAGGAAGGAACAACAAGAATATTTTCTTAGTTTAGTGTCCTTCTGTTTCTTTTAGGTGCTGACCATAACTGTTTTTAAAAAACAAAATCAAGAATTTTTGGACACCTTTATGCAAGCAGCAGGTGTTTTTTAATACATCACCTGTAGTAAAAGTTAGATGTCAGTAAGAAAACTTAGGTGGTCAGTTGTTTTTGAATCCAGAGAGGAAGGAGATATTTATATTTACCTTGTGCATTTATTTGCATTTGTCAGTAGATTGTTTTGCTTCTTTTTGATGTAGTTACATTTCTCCTGTTGTCTCAACCAAGTTTTCGTCTTTCTGTGTTGTGAAGAAAAATATTTCCATTAAGCCGAAATGTGCCTATTGATCATATTGCAATTTTATTTAAAGGATTAACTGACAAGGAAGACTGTATCTTCCTTTATGAAAAAAAGTTACACATGCAAAGCTTTTTTAAGTGCTTATAATAAATAGTAAGGTTACAAACCATTCACTCAGGATTTGCCTGAGATCTGGTTTCCTCTGTAAGAAATTGTTACTACTGTTTCTGTGTCTCATGCTTTGTCATTTGAGTCACTTTCTCTACCATCTTCTACCTTCTCCATTTATTACTTCACTTTTCCCAGCTTCTTAAAACTGAGAAGGATTTGAGTTCATGAAATTTGAAATATGGTATTTCTTATAAACTTCTAGCTAAAACTTAAGGATTTATCCAGTCTCTTCTTGCCTTAATCTGGTGACAAAGCAGCATGCACTGAACTTTTTCCATTTGTCTCTGAAGGGCTGATTTCCTTGCCAAAAGCTGTTGTAAGTTTAAAGAGTTACAGTGACCTTTACTGTATATATTCATTGCTACCTTAAAAAATTGCAGCTGTTGCACTATTCCTGCTGGTGTATCTGTAAGATCCCCTGGTATTTGCTGCTGATGTTAGGTTCTGTAACAGTGCATCTGGATCAAATATTCCTTTTTTTCTCAGCAGCACCACTAGTTTTCTTATCAAGTCTGTAGACCCTCCCTCCCTGTTTTTGATGGATGGCATTCCCTATTGATCGGAATAACTTGATAGTTATTTCTGTAGTCAGCTGCTCCTTCAGCTTTGTTTTCCTTCTCAAGGTCAGGGATAATGGTGCTTTTACACCATCTGCCAGCACTGATGGCCTTGCTCTACATTTTCTAATTCTGTGCAGTTTTATGAAGATGACATTGCTGCTGTTTATTTCTATTGGTATAATTGGATGGTATGTCAAAGTAAAGTGTTACATTTACTGTATTTCCCATTTGACTGGGCAGATTGTGAGATCTCTATGTAATACAGTCACATACTGCTGGAATGCAGATTTTTGGTAAGTTAAAGTGTGGATGCTAGAAGACTGAAGTTCTTCATTGTAGGCAAAAACCATTACTGCCCATTGCTCATGTGCATCAGCTGTTAGTACTGACCTGGTAGTTGTGCTTTACAATGTTTGATTCCTTAAGTTCTCACTGATTGCCTGCTTAACTGGGCTTTCTGTCTCTAATTGTACAGAAATTGTACAAAATCTATAGCTTATTTTTCTGTTTTTTGTAAGAATACTATTTGGGGTTTATCAAACAATTTCTGCATCAAGTCGTTGTGGAAAAGCTTATTTGTTTCTCTTTGCCAGGTATTTACATTACACCCAGCCTCACAGTTGTTACTTCTTTTTCTGGTGGTGTCACTGTGAGTCTAAAACTTGTATTATAACATCCCTTGTTTTGGTACTTTCCTTCTTACACTAGCACATCTCATCTCCAAACAATCTGCTATTTTGATTGATTTTGAGGTCTTAGGGTGACTCATAACTTTTAGAAATCCCAGTGGGGTTCTCTATAGTGCGAAGCCTGGTGCATCCAGGCACCATCCATGTGTGTTTTTGCTCCGTGTGCACTAGGGGGGCCTCTTGCCATGCAGTCCTCAGAGTAGGGTGACCAGGAGCTTACCATCATCCCTGATTTTTTAATTAAATTACTTGAGCAGGACAAAGCTTATTTTCTTTTTCTGAGAAGTAGAACAGCCGAGTGCTAGAAGGAAAATTGTAGTTGCTTACCCAGTTTTTGTTGCACTGAAGTACAACTAAGTACAGTTTTCTGTCTTAAAACTCCAGAATCTTGTTTGGGTTTGGTTATATTTTAAGGCATTTGCAGGCCTTTATCATGTCAATAGTACTTTTCTTAGTAATGCTGTTGCCAGGTTGCCAAAGGCACTCTGCTTATATGCAGTATGTAAGTTTCTTTAGTACTTAGTACCTTAGTATCTGTCAGTGTCTTATCTTTCTGTATGTTTTGGGTACTCCATTATTTTGTTGAAGGCTTCTGGGAAAGAAAAAAAAAAAAAAGACATGTTCTCTTGCTTTTCTGCAATATCAGAACTTGATCAGACTCTTGTTTTATTCTTTAGCAATAAAAGATTGACTACATCATGTAAGAGAAAGGAAGACAGTTGTGAAGCTGAGGTTGGATGCCAAGCTACCACTTAGTTTTTCTACTAAACATGTCATTATACTCCAGAAATAAACTGTGTGCAGGGCATAGACAGGGCGAGATACAAGTGCAAGTTTGAGTGGTTTTTTTTTCTATAAAATTGGTGATACTGTAACAGGCTTCCTAGTAATGTCAGCTGTAAAATAGTAATTAGCCTTTTTATGAACATTTTGTTTCTTCTGCTAGGTTTTAGCCGACTGCTCAGTGCATTAACACTTTCTGTAACACAAGCCATTTTTCATCCTGATTTTGCCTGGCAGGGAGGAGAGCTTTTGAACTCTCCTGCACTCTATTCTTAGTGTTCTGAAGAATGTGACAGCAGCTCTTGCATGTGCACCCCTCCTTGTCTCCTTCACAGACAGCTGGTTGTTGCCTGACCCGGAGGGCTTGTATTCAGTGGGTGAGACCCAGTGCTCCCGGGCACATTCAATGTCCCTCATTCCGGGATTGAATGAGTTTGCCATCTGGGATGGTGCGCACAGCCCCTTTGTCTGTGGCAGGGCTAAACCCAGCACCTGCCCACCGGGTGGCAGCATCCTGTCGCAGGCCTTCTGCTGCCGCGCTGAGCAAGCTCTTGCTCTGGTTTCTCTGGGGATTTGAAGAGCGGCTGAAATCTCATTGTTTTCCTTTGGCTGTCTTCATCGTTTTTCCAAAGTGGCGGTACATTCTTCGTAGATCAGGACATACACTGAATTTTGTATTGTTTCTGACTGCTTACCAGTTGCCAAGGGTGGTGTTGTGCTCATCAGAGCCTTGATGATTTGAAAGAGTTCAGAGTTTTCATTTTAATCCTTTTGCAGGAGGACAGTCTGTTAGTAAATCTCCGGCATGAGTGAAAGAATTGTTCAAGTATTTGTTCAGTTGTGGTTAATTATATCATTACCACCACCTGTCCTGCACTTCTTCCCCCATGCCATAGAATATTCTAACACATTTTACAGTTTCTGATCTCCTTCCTAATTTACTTTACACACAAAAATGCCCTTTGTTTAGTTAGGATTGTTTCATAAGGATCAATGGCAGATGATAACTATTTGGAATTAAGCATTGCACAGGGGAAAAAAAAACTAAAGGAAGGGAGAATTATAGAAAATCCTCTGGCTTTATGAACAGGAGTTGGTTACCACACTTGAAATTTATATTTCTCATAATATGAAACAGTTTTATGAAGGATGAGCTTTAGAACTTTTCTCTTTAAAAAGAACATTTTTAGCTCAGTGTAGTATTTTGTTGGCTTTTTTGAAGTAATACCCTTCTGCATATTCTTAATTGAAAAGTTTTCATTTTATAGAATCTGAGTGACAAGTTTTCTTCAAGTTAAACATGGATCTGTCAAAAAGTGTTGGGAAGAGTGGGCAGCACTGGCAGGCATTAAATGATGTTTCCTTGCTTGTGTTCACAGAATTATTTTTTTAAAGGAAAAATAAGTTATTAGAACAACGCAAAGGTGCTTTGTGTTAATTCCTGCCTTTGAACTAAAAATTTATCATCCTTTATAGCCTCTTATATTCGTAAAGGTTATTAAAGTCTTGAGAATGTCACGGCTGATAGATTGGAAAGTATTTGAGATTGTGTGCGTCATGGAACATGTTTTTTGTACACATAATTTTCAGTCTTTCTTAATTAAATATTTCAGTTCTAGTTTCACTGACCTGGAGACTCAGTCACTGAGGACTAAAGTTGTCTCAATCTCTCTCCGTAGTCTGACCTGAAATGTGTTCAAGATGCAAAAGGAGGCTCTTTCTACAGAGACCATTGTCCTGTGTTAGGTAAGTTGAAGATGAAGTAAATTTATGTTGATTTGTGTTAATTTTACTCACTCTGGATTTCCATTTCCTTTTTAAATGTCATCCAAAGGGACTGTCCTTACTAGTGAAATGTGAATATTATAATTTCTGTGCACTAATGATAAATTGTCATGCTTTTCTAAATTGTGTTTGCTGTCAGTGTGCCAAGGGGATGGCAAGGGAACTTTTAAGTGTTCATTAAGTTACAAATTGTGTTGTGTATCCTGTGCACTATATTTCTAAAAAGCCAAACGTAGCTGCTCATTCTTACAGAACTGGCTTAAATATTAAGAGATCTAATAAAACTAACTCTTTGCACAAAAGCACTGTTGTTTTATTGACACCAGAGCTTTTATGTGTCCAGATGTCTAACACCATATGATAGTTTCTAAGATCCCAGTTAGAGCCCATAGTGGAATTTGTCACAAGTATTTAGCATTTGCCAGTGTCACTGATACTTGCCTTGAAAACTCAAAAAGAAGCACAAAATTCTGTTGCCAGAGGTTCCAAAGTTTATTTGTTGGCCACTACTGTTGCAGAGGCATTGGTGTGGAATCACCATCCCTGAAGTGTTGAAAACACGTAGATAGGGTACTTGGAACAGGGTTCAATGGTGAACATGTGATGGTGCTAGGTTGGTGGTCGGACTTGAAAATCTCAAAGGTCTTTTCCGACTGTAACAATTCTGTGAGTCTCAGAAATTCTGTTCTTTAAATTGCCTGGAAAATTAGTATGACGATGTAAATTTTTTTTTTTTCTTGCTCCCTTTCAGGTGAGCAAAATGGTAACAGAAACCCTGGTGGTCTGCAAATAGGTGACCTTGTAAACATTGACCTCGACTTGGAAATTGTGCAGTCTTTGCAGCATGGTCATGGAGGATGGACTGATGGCATGTTTGAAACTTTAACAACAACTGGAACAGTCTGTGGCATCGATGAGGACCATGACATTGTAGTACAATATCCAAGTGGCAACAGGTTTGTTCTGTAGCCTTCATTGTTGCTTCTAACAAACTTACCGTGCCTTCAGTGCTTGTGATTACTTGGTGCCAGAAGCTTTCTCTTCTCCTTTTGTGTCAACATATTAAGATTTCCTTCTAGCTGTGTAATGAGGACTTAACTTTGAGGATGCTTTAGTGGGAATAGAAATTTTGCTGCCTCTCTCACGTGGTAAAAATTTGAGTCCAAAATAAGAAATTATGTTCTAGACTATTTTATTTGCAAAATGTAGTGTTTGAAGCAGTAACTTCATTTTTAATAAAAAGCTATCTATCCCATAGTTTCAAAGGCAAGGTAATTGCAATTCATTGTGGATTTTCAGGAAAGTAGTTTAAGAGAACAGGTAACAAACTTTGAGGGGATCTTGTCTAAACTAGAGTCACCTTGGCATGATCCATATCTAGTCTTATTCTTCAAAGGAATGTTTATTTATGTAAATACAGATCAAGAATAGGAGGTGTTGGACAAGCCAGAACCACTCCCTGATAGCAGTTTAGGTTTGAATTTTGCTTAGCTGCATCCATGCTAACAAGGCTCAAACCTGGCGGTTTGAGTCTGATTCAACCAGTGGGGTTTGAATCTGATACGGCCACATGGCTTTCTGTTCTCTTGCTCTCAAGTGTTAGGCTTATCTTTAAGAAGTAGCTGATGAATGGAATATCATTTCAGTTGTGTATGGAGTTTAACCTGTTCAGTTTGTCCAGAAAGAATTAACAGTATATTGTTCATTCATGATTTCCCTCAAGATGTTTGTTAATATTGCAGAGTAATGCAGAACAAAGCTGTTTTCCCAGCTAAAGGGATGCAAATGGCTTTTCTTCTGGCAGTCATGTCAGCAAAGTCAGTGGCAGGAGCTGCTTTGTCTTGTGGTCTCCTCCCTGACTTAACAGCTAAATGTCTCTAAATCAGTGAAATTTATACTACCAATAGGATAGTTTGATTGAAAAATGAGTTATATCTGGGGCATCCATTTAATTGAAAAGTATTGTTATAACTTAATATGGTGTCTTTTGACCTGGGGGAGAGGCCAAAATTCTGTTTTCTTCCCATGCTATTTCCTGACAGTTCAATCCTTGTGAGACAACTTGGATCTGCTGCTTTTCAACCAGTTATTTCCTATCCCTGGAAAAATAAAGCAACAGTATAGCTACTTTCAGGACTTTAACATTGCTGTCAGCTTGCTTCCCCTTAGGCAGAATATTTCTTAATTGCCTTTACAAATGTATATCTCTGAAGATTATCCTTGAAATTAATTAATGAGCCACAATTAATGAATTAATGAGCCACAGGCAAGTTTATGGACAAAAAACGGATAACAGCAAATATAGTACCCATAGTTTCCATCACAGAAAGTTTGTAGGCGTACAAGCAGAAACTTACCCAACAGATATTTTTTAAACATATATTTCACTTTGTGTGTTTAATATCTACTCTAAATAATTCATTCTTTAGGTGGACATTTAATCCAGCTGTTCTCACCAAGGCCAATGTTGTCCGAAGTGGAGATGCTGCTCAAGGTGCAGAAGGAGGTACCTCTCAGTTCCAAGTGGGTGATCTTGTTCAAGTATGTTATGACCTGGAGAGAATCAAGCTTCTTCAGAGAGGTCACGGAGAGTGGGCTGAAGCAATGCTTCCGGTGAGTAGCTGTGTGTTTGCATTCATAGAATGGTAAAGCTTGTACAGTATTTCTGATTATTATTGGTAATATACCTGTAAGCTGCAGGAGTCTAAAAGGGATTTTCTTCTAAGTTTTCGTCAAATGCAGTGTAATACTTGTTCAGGTGTAGCAGTTTGTTTCGCGTAATGAAACCTGTCTAAGGGTGGTAGTGATTGTACTGATAAACAATGGACTTCATAAAATTTGTATAATACTAAAAATAAAATATTTAGAAATCTGAATGTTTTAATTGCATTTGATGTTTTCTTGAATTCAGACTTTAGGTAAAGTTGGTCGGGTTCAGCAAATCTATTCAGACAGTGACTTAAAGGTAGAGGTTTGTGGGACATCTTGGACCTATAATCCAGCAGCTGTCTCGAAGGTGGCATCAGCAGGATCTGCTATAAGTAATGCATCTGGTGGTAAGTTTGAAGAATAACCAGTAATATAATAACCAGTATGGCAAGTAATTGTGTTAATTAAAAAAATGTTACTAGGTACTAATACATTGTTTGTATACAAGGTTAATAATAGACTTGGAGTTTAGTTAATTGAAGTTGTACTTAAGAAAGACAAGAAAAAAAGCTTGGGGTCAATATGGAGATGTTGTTATATTGATCAGGTGCTTCTGTTTGGTCACAGTGCAGGTGTGACTTTTGGAGGTCCGCTCTAAGGACTTCAGAGTGGTTGGAAGGGACGTAAGATTGAAATAGGGACTAAGGCATGAAGAGAACGTCACTGGCAGTAACAAGCAGGCTCCTTGTTTAATAGGTGTTTTAAGATAGGCACAGGTGAAGGATCTGTTGCAGGTGGTTATTATAACTCAGGATATTTATTTCTTTAAAATTTTTGTCTTAAAATTTAGACATCCTGTGACTAATTACAGTGGGATTTTTTGGTGTCTATGTAATCACACTACAGTTTTGTTGAACATGCTGTCATTCATATAATAACAAGGCAGAAAGACTGTCCAGCATGTTTTGTGTTATGTTGGCAGTTTCATAGGTCAATTGAAACTAGAATTTTTCCTCTTTTTAGTCATAGCTAGTTGTTCTTTCCTCTTCACATATTTGCTTTAATGCCAAGGAAACTTTCTACATAGTTTCCTAGATTTTTTCCTAAGGAGGCATAGATACAGTGAGTTTTCTCCATAAAGATCTGAGTATAGTGGCCATAAAACTATCTAGAAGAGTAAAACAACTTAGTGTTTCAAATCACAGAAGACAGGCTATACCTGATGTTAGAAAGTCTGTTATAGCAGTACGTAAGTTCATGTTTTTATGTTGTCCCACCTTTTTGTATTTTGCGGAAGAAAAGCTATTTGTGGTTCAACCATCTTTGTTCTGAAGTGTCTCATGTGGCAGTCTCCACTGTGTAAAGGGTACTGGAGTGCAGCTCTTATTTCAAACTCAGTAACTTTACAGCTGGTATTTTATGATCGTTAGTGTATTACTATGTACATGGCCTTAGAAACACAACAAATGTAGCTGGGTTTTTTTTTTTCTGTTCTTGTGTAATTAGGATTGTAATCTTAGTTGTCCTTTGGTTAACAATTACAGAGAGATTGTCCCAGCTATTGAAAAAACTATTTGAAACGCAAGAATCTGGAGATCTCAATGAAGAATTGGTTAAAGCTGCTGCCAATGGAGACGTTGCTAAAGTGGAAGACTTGCTAAAGAGGCCAGATGTAGATGTAAGTGTTCTGTTTTGGGAGTGTCTCATTTGGGGGGCCTCTAGTAATAAACGAAGTGCAGCTGTTCTGAATAGTTCTTGCCAGTTTGTAGTGTGTCTTCTGAGAAGTAGTACAGCTACTTCCAGTGTCTCTCCTCCCATTTGTTGTCCTATGAAATGTGTGTGAGCTGTGTGAACACAGAGCTATATGTTCTTTCTTGCTGGACAGATTTTGTATTCTTTAGTCTGCCATGAATTAAGATACTTTTCAACTTCCGGCTGCCAGAGCTGGTGCAGAGATCCAAACGGTCACAATTACTGAAGAGTCTTCAAATTCTTTTTTTCAAGGGGGATAGAAGGAAGGAGGGTAGATTTTTCAGGATGCTTTTGCTGTTATTGTGAGTTTGTTTTGTTAACTCACAAGGTAGTTCATCTAATCTGTTCTCTATCAGATTCCTTTTACCAACTTGTCTAATAGTGAAAAGTCTAAAAGAAAATGCTTAGTAATTATATGAGTTTGTTTAGGGAACATATTTTAAAGTTACAGACTTTTTCACTACAGCAGTTGTAATGCTCGCAGTTAAGAGTCTGAATTTCTTTGATTCTGAGCACTGATTTTTAGCTTAAGATTTTACAAAACATGGGTTCATACTCTCTCCTGTTGTTGCCATAAATTTGGCAAGGAAGTTACATGAACGTGGTAGTTTGACATTTAGGGAAAGCAGTAAGAACCACCCACAGAAGTCATTTCTTCGAGAGAAGCTGCTGGGAGCTTCTCTGCCTGAGATAGTACCATAGAGCAAAGGACAGGTATAAATCTGAGACCTGTTCTCAAAAATCTTGCCTTTTTACAGGAGTCACCCAAAGATGAATGTTTTTAATCCAAGTATCATTAATGTCTTAATATTAGTTATGAATCCATTTCTTCTTTTTTCCTTCAGTCTAGCTACTATAGAAATGAAATAGACAAGACCTAGGAGATCTATATATGCTAAAAAGGCATCTTAAAATTGTTAATTTGAAATTATGTTACTTGTGCTGTTGCTTTAAGTTTTCTGCTGCTAAACAGCCTCACAGGTGTGTATGTGTGTGTGTCTTGAAATTCACCTGCAAGTGTTGACATTCCAGGTGAATGGGCAATGTGCTGGACACACAGCTATGCAAGCTGCAAGCCAGAATGGCCATGTCGACATTTTGAAGCTGCTTCTGAAACAGAATGTGGATGTAGAAGCAGAGGTAACATAAAAATTTCAAGATATGATTTGTGTGTCCTTAAACTTTGTTACATGCATGACAATTCTATTCAGCTTGCCTTTTTAAATGCCAGAGAGAGTGAAAAAATTGCTTTTATTGTGTACCTAAATTAGACTCCTACTAACAGTAAAGGGTCAATATCTAATTCTTTAACACTTCTTATTAAATGAAATGTAACAACTAACGCAATAGAGCTATGTGAGCTATGCGATTAAGCCCCTTCTTTCTTTCCTTTGGTTTCATTTCAACAGTAGAATGGGAAAAAGATGTCAGATGCTGCATCTTCAACTTCAAATGCTTACCATGCTTCTAATATATACAAAGTTCAGTTAGGAGAAATCTTTCAATTTGTAACTGAAACAAGGTTAAGCAGAAGGCAGTAGCAGTATCTTTGGGTGGAAACTGCCAGTTCTCCTTCCAGTTTTTCAGTGCCATTTTTTTAAACTTCACTGAAAACGGAAGGGTGTCTCTTGTTTAGGTTTTTTACAATAATTGTTTGTAAAAGTTATCTATCAGCATACCGTGATATTTGCATTTTGAGTTGATTTTTACTCAGTGATTTACACAGAATGCACTGATATTGCAACCATTTCTCGTTTTGTGAGGCACACGAAGCATCTGTCAAATTTGATTTATTAAGAATAAAAACTGAAGCCTAATGGGATGCTGAGAAATTAATTGTGCACCCAGTTGTTGTTTGCATAACAGAAAAATAACTTCACATGCTTGGGCATCTAGCATTATATTGTATTTGATATACAGAAGTTATAGAATGTTAAAACATTAATGAGGCAGTGTAATTCTTGGAATTAAAATTGTTTTATATTTACAGATACACCATTAATTTATAATGCTTTTAATGCTAGATTCTAAAGATGGCTTAGATTGATGCAATACATGCTTCCTGTGGTCTGAGTTCTGTGAAGTAACTTAATGTTAGAAGTAGTGCTTTCACTGCAGTACAAAGTAAATACTGTTAAAATTAGACTGAACTGCTTTTCGTCTGTACTGTGGTGTTCAGAGCTGTCATATTTTACTCTAGTAGTGGACTGAAGGGAGGGTTAGAGGCATTAAAGAGACAGGTAGAAACACTACTTAAACAGTTTGAAGACAATACACCTGGTAATCTGCTCGCACTAAAATTATGAAAAATTTCATGTTTCCTCAGACTTCAGAAGTGCCATCACACTAGCATAAAAAAATTACCAGATTTTACTGGGATTTTACTTGACTTTTAAAGCCGTCTTCACACATCTGTGTTGCTTAAGTGAAGGCGGTATTCCCACTTGATTATATAATTGCCTTGCTTATTATAATATTAATAATTTTCATAATATTTTTAGATTACTGGTTATATTTTTCAGACTTTAAAAATGTAATCTGTTTGTCAATATTTATATCTATATACACATACAGATAATGTTTATATACGTAATTATTTATAAAATGCAAAAATTCAGAAGAGTCATCCCATAAAGCAAAGAGCAAAAATGTAGTCCATTTACTTCACTGTTGTGGTCAAAGGCATAGAAGCAATGGATAAAAATCCTTAATTTCCTTGCTTTATAGCTAAGTTGGACATTTTTACACTTTCAGTCGTTACTGCAGAGTATATGCATTCATGATGATATTTTCTAGGCATATCCTGATTGTTGTCTCCTATGTTTTTCTCTGATGTCTTCATCTACAAGTGGCCTCTGTTTAGTCAGAGAATAGTTGGTTATTGACATAGCTCAAAAAACCCGATGTAGATATTGCATAGTAAAAATATGTAACCTTCCATGCTGCAGACAGTTATTATATTAACAGTACTGACAATATTATACTGTTGGCATGTATAAAAATGTGCTTTTAATATTTATGTTTATATCTAAATGTAAGTCTTAAGAACAGATGATTTATTAGTTGCTAGCTTTTTCTAGATGAATTATTGCTGTTGGGTAGGATTTAATTCCTGAGATGATTTGTTTTGATGCAGAGCTAAAAAAAGGCTTGCATGATCCTGGACCTCTTCTCATTTAAATAGGAATTCTATACATTAAGACTTAATAAAATCAGGCCGTTGTTGAAATTGAAATATTGTAAAACAAAAACATTCAATAATTATATAGGGTTTCATCCATAAATGTCTTGGTGTACTTTTCAGACTGCAAATATGAAAAGACAGATTGCTATGCCTCTCTGAAACCAAGTGCTCTGTAAATACAAGTCTTGAACCAGTTTAGGAGTACTGGCACACTCTTGATAAGATTTGCCTCATAATGATCCTTACAACCAGATGAAAAATACAGAGAGGAACCGCTTTCTGATCCTTTCCCCTTCCAAATGGCTTCTTTTGACTGTTCATTCATGTTAGGTGTGCCTCAGAAGGAATCCTGCTATCTGAGAAGGCAACTTTGTACCATGAGTTGGTTTGGAAGGAATAAAAGTATCTTTTCAAAATCTGTTGACCATCTTGAAAACCATACCCATGTTTTCAAAAAGGTGCATTTGATAATTGGGGGATAAATCTTCTTCCGCCATTTTAAATGCTATAACTACTCGCATTGTGCAAATACAGTTTATGCTAAAAGCTACTAATTTTTGAATTGGTTTAAAATATATTAGAAATTTGTTATAGAATAAAAAAAACTTTACTTTTGAAAGATGTTGCCAAAGAAGCAAATTGATGAGAAGCTAGCTCAAGAGAGGCAGTGAGCCCTTGATCATTCATGATTTTTTTATTTTACAGTTTTCAGTGTTTCTCTGTTTTCAAAATTCAGTCCTACAAATGCATGGTCATATAAACTATGCACAAATACTCAGAAACTAGCTTATGGAAGTAATTTCATCATGTATAACTTCCCTTTTAGTTTTATCTTTTGTATACTGTTATTAATGCTGAAATGACTTGATTGATATTTTAAAATGTTTCATGTTGTACAGTCAACTTCTATGAGTGTTAAAATAGCCTAAACTGACAAATTTGACTTTCACATTTTAATTCTTAATTTGGGTGAAACTGAAACAAACTGAATCAGAGTTTTAACACTGTGAATCATCAACACAGAATCAGAACTTCTAGTTAATGTCAGCATCAGTCACAAATTTCCTTCGTAGAAGTTTATTTAAGTGAAAACCAAGACACATAATAAATCCTAATAAATACTAATTGTATAAACAAGGAAATACGCATGTGTTGCTCTGTGGTTTGAAATCTGTAACACTTCTTAGGTTACAGGAAGAACTACCCCAGGATAGTAAGTGTTATACTGTTCGGGCATTGGATTTTGTGTGGGTTCTTTGGTTTGGGTTTTTTCTTGACAGTGGTTGTTTTGTAGTCAGAACCCAAATGAAGCCATTTGAGTTTGATGAGCAAACCACACAAAGATTCAGGGCAATAGTTGTATATGTTGTAGAATATCATATGTTGTAGAACACGTGTGTTTGTATATGAACTGATTCTTCATCCTCTATTACTGCAATTTGAGCAATTACTTAATTAGGTATTTTAATGGTATCGTGGTAGTTTATTTTTCTTATTACATCAAATATGGACTGTTGTTAGTTGAAATAATCTTCTTGTTTAAAATGCAAAGGAAATGTGAAATATACCAGGTAAATGAATGTTTCCACTTTAGGACAAAGATGGAGACAGGGCTGTCCATCACGCAGCTTTCGGTGACGAGGGTGCTGTGATTGAGGTTTTGCACCGAGGCAGTGCAGATTTGAACGCTCGCAACAAGCGCAGGCAGACTCCACTCCATATTGCTGTCAACAAAGGTCATCTGCAAGTTGTCAAGACTTTACTGGACTTCGGCTGCCACCCCAGTCTCCAGGTAAAGTAAACTTTTAGTGTGGGATCACTTTTCAGCTACTGAATTGCATGATTTGCTGGAAGTAGGTGATGGAAAAACTATGGAAAATGGGATTGAAATGAACAGACATTGTAAAGCTGTCTGTCTCAACCTTTAACTCACCATGTGATCAACTGTAACCAAAATTCTATTGTCTGTTTGTTTCCTAGACAGCTAGATTGACACCTGTTTATTCTAGACAGTTGATACTAATTGGTATTTTCACAGTCTGTAGTTATTTCTAATTGTTAACTTTCCTTCCTGATTAATTACTCCTATATCTAACCCACAACTCTGTCCTCCTTCTGCAAGCTACAGTTTAGCAGACTGGTGATACTGTGGAAAGCTTTGTTAAAAGAAATCTTATTTCTTTTCCAAAATAGATTTATCATTGACAGTACTATTTAGTCAGATTCATTTTCAAATATTCAGCTTTTTATCTAGAAAGCCCTCATGTGTAGGCTCTCAAGTACCATAATTTCACAGGGAATTTCATCTGTAATTGAATATGATGGAAGCCTAAGTACAATGTCCTGTTTGGAAGGTAGAGTGAAGCTGTGCTATCCAATAAGCAGGTATCCACACTGCTGAATGCAGCTTCATCAACTGCATTAGTAAAACAAATGAGAATGGGTGAGTTTGAAGAGATTTGCATCAGAAAAAGCTGTAGTGGCCTGGGAAATCAAGATGTGCAGTAATAAGACATTGCCTCCTTGTTTTGCCGTGTCAATAATCAGATTTTCTTGGAGCTGTATATCCACATAAAAGAAGATGAGCAAAATCTTCGTTGAAATTAATTAGTGATTGTTTATTTATCTCCTTCTACCTAACTTTTAAGGTACTGCCTTGATCTTGCTGAGGTTGATCTGTTATATCCATCCAGATCCTGTTTAGTATTTGTTGAACTGTAGGTATTATAAGGAATCTGATGTGCTAACATCAGTTAAGGGCGACTGTAAATCGCATAGGAACATATAGGTAGCCAAAGTGGATTTTCTTGAGTTGAAATTACAGAATTTTGTTACTGTTGAAAAATCAGTAGAATGGTGCAAAGATACTCCATCTGGAAAATATAATTGCTATTGAAAGAAATGAACTTTCAGATTCAGCATGTGTGCTGAGGAACTGTGATGTGCAAATGTGAGTAGGTGAATGATTTTGTCAATGAGAGCAGAGGGGAGTAAGACTGAGGCATGACTGGAATTTAACTGGCCAGCAGTCTACTACTGTGGCCACTTCACAGTGCAAACAGAAACATATGTTAGTTTATAAACAGGAAATTCAGGAAATATGATCAATTAAACCAAATAAAAGCTACATTATTTAGTTCTGGCAAATTGGCTCACACTGGTTCAAGTGTTTCCATATTCTGGCACTTTTTGTTTGGCAGATTTTGATTCTCACTGTACAAAAACAGAGATCTGTTTTCGTACTAATGTATTGCTAAAATGTTCAGTTTCTGTGTTAGTCAGCTTGCAGTTGAGTCAGTGTTGGTGACAAAAGACTTCCTGACTTACATGGTGCAAGAATTTTACTTGAAGCATAAATCTAGAGATTTTGCCTATGTAGCTGCAAATAAGCTTAAGTATTTTCTTGCTGTTAGTCTAGGGCATTTCTCTTCAGTCCAGCCATTTGAGTCATTGAATAAGTAATGACAATAAATATAACAAAATGCTTCTTTGGTAAAAAGTATTTTTTCCTTATTTGGGATATTTGGAAAATAAAACATCAAGCTAAAAGTCTAAATTCTTTACCTGTTCAATTGTGCAGTCAAGTATTATGTACCTTGTGTAAAATAACCTTGTATTAGCCATAACAAGTTAAAAGCTTAATTTTCCATTATGACATTGGCTTTTCCATCATGGAAAATTATATGCTTCACTTGAAATAACAGATATGCCTGTTTTTGGTACCTGGACTGCATTTTATTTTGATTTGCCTATGCTTTAATTTCACACTGTCATTTTGGTGTTGTCTTCTATATGGTTAACTGCTGGCTGAACTTAGCATTTATTACTCAAAATTCCATTCCTCCTTCCACCTGGGTAGTCTTCCCTCTGTCACGTTTTAGTTTCTGTTGCTGTCCTTTTACTCATAAATTGTAATTTGGGCATCAACTCCATCTGGATAAGAAGCATAGAGAAGTCATTATCTACCCCAGTGTCCTCAGTACTGTGGGATGCAAAGCATAGTTTTGGCAGCAGTGTGACTGTAAAATGGTGGAGCTCAGGGTGGGGTTTCCCACTGAAGCATTTGCAAAACTGGATGAGAAGACGCAGCTTGCTCTGAACTCTGCAGTATAGCAACACTCGGGTCTGGAAGAGCTGTTTTGTGTTTGTGTAGTCAATTTTTTTAGTGATATTTTAGCATCTTTTTAATGTGGATGTATGCAAAAATTGACATAAGCTGTTTCTGGTTTTAGGATTCTGAAGGAGACACTCCACTTCACGATGCAATAAGTAAAAAGCGTGATGATATACTTGCTGTACTTTTAGAAGCTGGAGCAGATGTTACTATCACCAACAACAATGGGTTTAATGCTCTTCACCATGCTGCACTAAGAGGAAACCCGAGGTACAGATTCTTTTTAAAGATTATTTTTTATCATATGTAAAAGGAAAACAAGTGCACATGAGGGTAGAACCGTGGTATTCTTTCAGAAGATCCATAAATCTGCATGTAGTTGTATTTCCTAAATGTCGATGTTGCTTAGCTGTGCATCTTTCTAATGCTGGAAGCCCTTACTAGAATGAAGCTAGAAGTCTGCTCAGTTTAATGCTGTATTCAGGTAACTCCAAATACCTAAGAAATTCCCTGTCATGGCTGTAAAATGTTGCCAATAATTTTTTTGATAAATAAGCTAGATCTTGAAGATGGAATCTTTTATCCTTGACATAGGATAAAAATAGTAAATACTTCTACATTTCGTTTCTTGACTATTTGAATTGATAAAGGAATTTGAGTTTTTTAGAAATATTTATTTCTGGATAATTGTTAAGTAAACCATACAGTTCTAAAGCACTCTTAGGATTGTTGTATTAGATTGTATTTGTCAATATATGCAACAGTTAATTATATTTTCATAGAAGCGTATCTAGAAGGAAGTTTGTATTTCAGCTTTTATATAGCAGTTCAACTGTAAAAGTTCATTTTAAGGCATAGTTTGTTTTATACTAGCTGCATTCTGTATGTCTGCATTCAATTTTCAGTTAAGATAGCTTTTGAAAACTACTGCATAGATAGAACTTTAAAGAAAAGTTGTGTTACTGTTTCCTTATTACACTGTGGATAAATGGTATTTTTCAAAGCTGTCATACTAACAAGACTTCAATAGTACTTTATCCTGGGGTGGAGTTTTCAGTATAGTTTACACAAAAGAAGAAATGTGTGTGTTTGCTAGTTTGCTACTAAATTCAGCTTTTCATTTGAGAGAAGTTGGAAAAATAAGGCTCTAAATTTGTGTAAATTCCACCCATTATTAATATATGGGATTAAAATCTAGGTTAGTCCCTTAGAACATAGCTATCAAGACTGATAGTCAAAAAGTAAACATAATTAATTATCTATGTTTGTGGAATGGAATAATTTCACAAAGTAAAAGTGGTGGTTGGAAGTATTGATAGGATAAATAAAGGTTTACCATTTTCTACAGTACTTACAAAAGGTCTTTAAGAGAACATGTCAAGGACCAAGTGAAGAGAGTTTATTTTTGGCATTCAGCAGACAATTCTTTCAAGTCTGACTTGGTAACTTCTTCCTTTAAAGTGAATTCTTCCTACTTATATAACAGCATTAGCCAGGAGCACTGTTTCCTGTCTGTTACCTAGGTGTGGAATATTTTTGGTTAGGTTTTTCCTGCAGTGCTTTTCCTCAGCTCTTGTGGTAGTTGGTTTGTGTGACCGTAATCTCAAGATGAGATGCAGGGATCTCATGGGGAAAAGATGTTTTTCATAGGCATGTGCTGGAGATTTTTTGATGGGTGAATGTTTTAGGAGTGAGAGACCATTCCTTTGATGGAGGGATGCAAGCTGTAGTTCAGGCTGGGTCAGTTTGACAGTTGGTAGAATGTGAGGTATTGTGCAGTTTTAACCAGAATCCTCCCTTGTTTACAGAATTTTTTATTGGAAGTATTGGAAAATGTTTCCAGTATTAGCGATTTGAATGCTGTGTGGGTTCCTCCCATACATGGGGTTTCACTTGAATCTAAAACAGATATTTAATTTTCTTTTTTGGTTGCAGTTCCATCTGAGCACTGCTCAAGCATGCAGAAAAGGAATTTTGTCTCCCATCACAGAAGGAGTAGTTTCATCTAAAATATGTAATGCCCACAGAATTAGATATTTTACCTATCAGCCTGGGAAGAAATGGTTGAAAATGAAGCCAGTATAAATCTGTTTCGATTTCTCCCCCTGTCCAAAGATGATCCTAATAGTTTCATTCATCTAAGAGTCGAGTTTTATATTCTTCAAGACTTCAGTGATTCTCATTTGTTTTATTGCTGGTTTTGTAATTCTGCCACTTGCCTGTTTCTGAATGAAACTAAAGTTTTTGTATTTGCTACTTTGTTTTTCTAATCTGATACAGAACAATGATTATTACTGATCTGTTAAATGCACTAAGTGCATTAAAACACTGTTAAATATAATGCCCTCATCTTTAGCTTATTGCTGCTGTGGGTCACAAACAGTGCATTATAGGTTGTGCTTGAAATCTTAAAGACCTATCTTTCCTCATCTAAGCTTTCCTGCTCCACCTAAACTGGAGTTTTTGTAGCTTCAGGATGTGGTGCCTTATATTAATACAGTGCACTAAATTCCCCTTATATTCAAATACCTAGATATATTATGTAACTTTTATTTTATAAAAGTTATGCATGTATTCATAGTATATAAATGTGGATGCATTTGTGTGCATAGCTATAATTGTTAGAAATGTGCTATGTATGCAAGAATTAATAAAGTTCACATACATCTTCCTTGTTGAGGATAATTGAATGAATGTGGTAAGTGCACGGGTACCACAATAAATGGAGGTGGATTTCTATAGTATTTTTTTAGTTGATGTTAAATAGGTATTTGGAACCAATTTAATTTTCAGAGGAAAACCTCTTGTTTCTGGAGTTCTGACCTGTATAAATAATAGGGAGATAAATATCCCAAGAAAAAACTTAAAATTGTGCTGAGAAGAACATTTCAAAGTTTTAAATTTTTCATATGAAAACAAATGCATTCTATTTTAAATGTTTGAATATTGTATAAATATAATAAGAAAGATAATGATTAATGTCAAATAGCTTCGCTTTTCTCAGCACTTTATCTTCCATGGTAGTTTGACTGTGTTTTCCGTAAGTCAAGGTACAGTGTGTTTCTGAGAGCATCCTATTCTTAGTAGAATATTTCTCCTTTTCATGTTTTGCTTCTCTTTGTACCTTGTGAATTGGTACAGAGAACTTTTGGGTTTTGTGCTGATGTATAATGTTGAAATGTAGAATGGATGTTAGTTTATGCTGTAGGTAGCTTTAAACTTGTGCATGGGAGATAGAGCTAAAAAAATTTTTAAATTAAGTGTGGGGAAGTTAAACTTTCATTTAATACATGGTTTCTTGTTTGTGATTTTTAACTGTCTGATATGACTGAGTCAGTCATATTAAAAGTGCATTTATTTTGGACTTCTTTCAAAAGTGAGCCTCAAAGCTTGTCAGGCTTTGCCTCTTTAGTGTTAATGAGATTTTTTTCAGACAGAAAAAAGGAGAGTAAAATTTGAAAATACTGTACAGATTGGTTATTTTTGCCATGTTATCATCTCTTGCTTATGTTTGATCTATTCGCATACCTGTGACTTCAGATTTTTGAGCTGAAGACATGACTGTGAAGTGTAGGCGTATTTTATATCCGTTGCCCCAGTTAGTTTTAGATTTGCATTGTATCTTGTGAAGAGAGCTTTATTCACTCTGCAGCTAGCATCTTAAATAGAGGCTGCTCTTGGAGCTGACCTGACTTCACACACGTGTATGATTAGTTCTTGAGAACCATAAATTCTGCTGGACTTTAAATCAAAAAAATCGAAGTCCTGGAGTAAGATACAGATTTCATGTATTGCTCTCCAATAGCAAGAAGTATTATCATCTTTATGTTCATAAACTGGCAAGGAGGACATTGTGGTTTAAAACAGAATTGTAATTTTTCCCCATGGTTTTCTTATTATTTGGGAGATATACATTTGTTTTTAGATTTGCAGATGGTTTGAATGGGCTGGCAGTGAAGTTTCTAACTGTAGCAATTTAATTGTGAGGTGGTGTTTCTCACTTCTAAGTAGTGTTAATGAGTGTCTTCAAGAGGTGTCTGCAGGACTCACAGGCTGTGTTGTCATGGAGGTCCTCAGAGAGACAAGTTCTGAGGTTATGGGAGTGGTACAATTATTTTTTACACCAGTCAAAGTGGTTTTTTTGCTTTTGTATTTGCAGTTCTGACAGTAAGTGTAGGTTAAGCTTAGTTGAAACTGAGTGCAAAGAGAGCCTGTTTTTAAAACCTCATATTAAAGTATTGTGTCAGAAAAGGCTTTGGAAGAATACTTTTGTTCAAGTTGATTTGGAGGAAGAATATAGTCTCTGTGAGCAGACCTATTATTAGATGGTAGATTAGCCTGTAGCTGTTGAGGTCAGTGACAAATATATTATCTTTAAATAGTAAATAATGTGCCTGACAGATACAGAATGGCAAATACAGTTCCTGCCCTGTGGAGTTTCCTTCCTTGTGCAATGAAAAAAAAGGGGACAGGGGTGCCCAGAGAGTAAACCTGCCCTGCCAGTACTGTTCATGATTATTTCCTTTTGGGCTTTGAGTTTTTTTGGTCAGTTCTGCTAGAAAGGGCACCAGACTTGAGGAAGAATACAAGAGACAGTATGTCATTGGGAAATGTTTATTTCATTGCTTACCTATCTTCTTTATAAATGTTGTAAAATATGGTTTTCACTGCATATGGACAAAACGTTAAACACCAGTAGCTATTTATTTACAGATACAAACTTGAAATTTTGGAATACAGAGTATACTACACTCCTGGTTACCTTCCATCTTCAGGCTGCCTAGAAGTAGAGCTGGACTGCAGAGAGGACTACATAATTGCTCTGAGCAGGTTTCGTGTCCAGTTTTAAAAACATGAGAAATCCTGTAGTGATCAATGCATAGCTACAGCTGGTTGAAGGGGACCAAATCCATTGAACAGTTGATTTGGTTCCATTTTACCAGCTTTAGCAAAGCATTGGAGTGCAGGAAGCTTATAATTCAGTAACACATTTTAAAGCACATGAGCAGTGCACAAAGAACACAGGGGTTTCTTCTGTATTACACAATTTGTTTCTTGTCAATACAGATTTTTAACTCTTTCCTAATTTGGAGATTTTTAACTCTTTCCTAATTTGGAGATGGCACAATTAAAAGCTGCGTACCAGAAAGGCCTGTACAGGTTTGTTGCGTCCTTGAGTATTTCCTTGAGGATCTTTGGATGAGTCTCAAATCAAATCATAGTTACAGTTTTAACTTTTTCCTGTCTAGTGTAATCAAGTTTTAAAATAGATTAGAAATTGTAGTCTTAAATTTTTTATCATGTAGGGCTCCCTTACTTCTTTTTGTTAAACTTTACTGGGGAAGAATGTTTCAGTTTCCTTGTCACCCTCTACCCTCCCTTCCCATCATTCATTTTCTGGCACGTTCCCCTTTGCAGCTGCTTTTATGCTGTAGCTGGTTAGCACAAATATAAATGCCAAGTGCTTTCAATTCCATTGCTATATCTGTGGTTAGTATTAACTTTTTAGGAATGATTATATAATATAGCAGGGTATATTTAATTTGTTTTACCCATATAGTATATGTAAAGCGATTTAATGCCAGAAAAATGCAGCTTCTAAAGATTTATCTGGGGTTGCATCTGATTTCTTCTAAACTAAGGTCCTTAATACAATTGTATGAGCTCACATCGCTTTTTATGTGTCATACTGAATTCTTTCTGAGCTTTAACTGCAGTGGAAAGTAGGGGACAACCTTAGTTCAAACCATTCCCTAGTAATGAGTATGTCAAGGATAGTCTGTTTGTTGCATAGTCTGATGATGGTGAGAAGATTTATGTAAATATATTCCCAAGACCATGTATCCTAATAGAAACGTAGCAGGTGTGTCACTTGGACTTAAACATCAAGATGGCTATAAAATGAGTTTCTATTTTTACCACTTATAGAGGAACTGTTTTACAGATACAGCTGCTCAAGTGTGCTTTTGGATGGCAATACAGTTTCATGTACTGGCCATATCGGGACAAAAAACGGCTGTGGAAAAAAAGCTGTGTAGCATTTGATAATGTCAGCATCTGTTATCCCTGTCAGTCACACAGTTGAAATGTTTGAGTTACAACTGTGTCAGCAGATGCCCAAAGTTCAACGTGTGCTCGGTTAAAATTGAACAGCTGATCTAAGTGATGGATGTGACATTTTAGAGTGACTGGGTATGTATTCTTAGAGATATGCTAACATGAACTAGCAGGAAGCAATGTCAACATATAATTTTAACTTTTGTATCACTCTGAACTGTCATTTTGTGTCAGAATAACATTGCAATGTTATACAAGGGACAACACAGTATGATAAATCATTGCCAAAAAACTTTAAGATAAATTAAAGCTGTTAAAAAAATGTGTCCCATTATATAGTAGAAACTAAATCAATTGGTGCTGAGAACAGGAACTCTTCAGGAGAAGAAAATGTTTAGCAATAACCCCTCAGTGAAACTGTTATACCAAATTGCTTCTGTGAGCACGATCAAGTTTAGTAGTCTTGCTGTATTCAGAAAAGCTACTGTAATTTGATTTCTTTCCCACTACAAATGAGGTTTTAATTTAGATGTTAAGATACTGTAGCCTTCGTGATATCTGCTCATAAGAGAAAGAGCTTTAAAACAAATATTGAAACATTGCTTTCTTAAGCAGGTAAGATAATATTTCTTTTTGTATGTATGTTAATATGTAGTGTCAGTTGTTAAAAATACCAGGCTATGTATATTATTAGCTGTTTGAGAATTATGTATTTAAAAATAAGTTCTTTAAAAACTTATTTTTTTAAAAATTATGTGTTGCCTTTGCTTATTTTCTTGTTTGTTTTGTTTTGTTGGTTTTTTTCCCCTCACATACATTTTTAGTAAGCAAAGGGCTACAGTTAGAATCTTTAATCTGGGCCAAATGTGCCTACTTATCACGGACATATCCTATTCAATAACTGCTTTTAGAAGGCTGCTGTCATGAATAGAAATGTCTGGATTGATGAGTGAGGAGTTCTTTCATCTTGCTTTTCCCTTGTTCCCGAATTTGATGTTGAGTATCTTTACTTAGGGATGGTATGCAGCAGTTTATTTTAATTAATAGCACTTTTAGAACTTGAAACTATTGAGGAACTATTTCTCATGTAGTTCTTAAAATTTTCTGAATGCTACAATGTCTTTTTTATGGCTAATTTTCTTAAATTTGAATTTAAAATAAATCCAGCTTATTTGAAAATAGTATTTAAGATAACTTACCTTTTAGGCTGTTGTTTTCATTTGTGTTTTCATTTAGGAATATGTCAATAGCTTTAATCCGCTGACTAGAAACTCTGGCCTAGAAATCTCTGTATTGTCACTTTCTGTGCATAAACCTGACACTGCACTTTGTATCGAAGAGCTCAGTGAGCACAATAAGTGCTGATTTGGATAAAATTCTAACTTAAGTCTTATTTATACTCAGTTATTTTAGCTATCATTTTCTCTAGATCACACCTGTAATTCTTTATCTCTTAATACTTGTCTCAGTTGCAACCTGTGGTTTAAATGTTCTATGGTAGATAGAAATTTAAGTACTACTATCTGAAGTACACAGAACAGGCTGTAATTGCTAGAACAGTGGCTTGTTTTTATGAGATGCATTTTGATAACCAGACTTTTAAGTTTAGTTTAAGATCTATGAAGTGAGGAGTACTGGTAATGATGAATTTTGCAGCTATGCTGCAGTCTTAATTGGTGCATGTTAAGGTTTCATTTCCAGCCTTGCTTTGAATTCTGTTTGCAACTAATATTCTACTTATCAGCTGTTAACAATAATTCCTACCCACTTTTATAGTCACTTAATTTAATGTTTTGTGATTTGTTACTAACAAGTATGAGTTATTTTGGCAATACCAGCTGACCCTTAGCAAGCCAGTTTGTCACATGAATGTCATTCAGACAAGAGGGAAACCTGTTTATTCCAGCAGCTGTTTAGTTTCCTCTTACTGGTCGTTCCTTGCCTGCCAAAAATACATACTTCTTTACATTCCATAGCATTGTATGTTCATATGGGTACATAAAGAAGTATGTGCTCTGAGCAGGTACTCACAGAGTTGCTTGACTGCCTGTCAGATGAACCTGAAAAGCATTTTGCTGCTTTTTCTTGCTGTCTTTAGGTAAAACTGGCTGACAGTTCTTTGGAAGGACAACAGTTCTGATAAACTGATGGTAGAAAATAAACTTACTATGCTAACTGAACTGCAATGCAATTTACCTGCACAGTGTCTAAAAGCTGGACATAGTTCACTGTTTTGGGATGGCACTGATGTTAGAAGTGCTTTTCCATATTTTTGCAGCCTCTTGCTCTTCTAAGTGACCATGTTTAAGTAGAGAGTTGAATCGCTGGTAGGTTTGCAATGTCTTTTCTTAGAATTTGTAGTTGTAGTCCACTGTAAAAACTTCAGCTTTCTCCCAGGTCTTCTTGCAGATTTTCACGCTGGGATACAGTTTGCATCTAGTGTCCTGAAGGGAAGCATAGACTGATATAAAATAGCAGTTATAAAGTTATTTTCTTACCCCAAATCCCATTTCTATGCTTTTCGTATGCTGTCCATTATTCTGCAAACTCTGTGTAGGTTTACACTTATTTACACTGTATTTCAGAGTGGTTTAAAAAACAAAACAAAAAATAAAGCAAAACAAAAACACGAAAAGCCCAACCCAAACACAAAAGCACATGTCACCAGCAATCCTGCTTATCGTAAAGATGATGACATTGAATTAAAAGAACAACCTCTAACTGCTGTGACAGGATTTGGATTGTTAGGCCAAAGGTCACATTTGAAAGCTAATACCTATTCAACACTTCTGCAAGCATCTTTTCTCATTTTAAAAAACTGGCACTCACCTCCTTCAGTCAAAGTCTTGTCCACCCTTGAAATATTTATGACAGCTAAAATAATTAACTAAAAAAATTATCCCAAACCAAACAAAAAACCTCGTAGAAACAAAGCCCAAGTTTAACCCTGTTTCATAAGATTTCGTGCGACTTGGTTTGGAACAGTGGTTAAATATTTGATGTGCAGTACAGCTTTGACTTCTGAGGGGCTGTCGGATATAGCTTATGCTTGCTTAATATGTATTTCAGGAGTTGATTTGGGTTACAGTAAAGAGTAACCTTTGTCTCTATAGCATTAGAAGGTAAACTTAAATAAGCTTAACAATTAGTAACTGTAATACTTGTAAGGAAAGCTAAGAGCAGAGGAAGTAAGAATTTCTGCAGCTCATGACAAAAACCTAGTGCAGCTGATAGAGAGCAAATCAGAGTGTAGCAGTAGCTAGCACAGTAGTACAAGGAGAATCAGCAATGCAGCATTAGAATCACAGCAGTCACATTCTAGTTTTTAAGTAGGCTGTTTTCATGTACGTCTGATATAAAGCACCTTGAAAATTTTGCCTAGACCTATTTGAGAACTCAGCATTGCACTACCACACTGTTTATTAGGTTTTCTTTTTCAAGTTTGTACATTTTTAGTTGTGCATAGGAATATAAGAATATATTTCACTGAAATGAACAACCAGTTAATGGCATTGCAGTTTATTAGTTTATCTTCTTTAAAAAGAATTCTGCCTACTAAGCAAGTTGGGATTTGGTTTTTTTGGTTTCTGCTTTTTTTTTTTTGCTTTTTTTTCCTATGAAATTTGGACTAACAGTTGTTTTCTTTCAACCTGCTCTTTACACTACAAATGCTTGGTACTTTAGCACACTCAAAATTAAGCTTTTCCCAGAGTAGAGGGATTAATACAACAATTTAAAAAACAATCTAGTAAATAAGATATACATGCAGAAAGTCATAGGCATCCTTTAAACGTGCAGAATAATGCAGGTCTCCTGATGTTCTGTTACCTGTAAGCTTAGTATCATGCAGCATTTGCAGTTGGAAGAGAGGTAATGACCTAGAGACACATCAGCAGCAGCCATCTCATCCTGAGTGCTCTCACTCTATTCGCTGAATCAGCTCTTCGTTACATGGGAGGGGGAGGCAAGGGGGGGCGAATGTCGGTGCATACAGTACCTCACCACCTTAAATAGATAAAACTTACAAGAAAAAAAAAAATGCATGAAGATGGGTGCCTAATTGGCACCTTCTTCCTTTCTTTTGAATGCTGAAATATGGATGATGTTGTATAGAAATTATACCTTATGTCTGCTGGACTGAGAGTTAAGACTCCAAGAATAGATGCTATGAAGCCAAGGGAAGGTGAACTTAGCCCACTGTCAGATGAAAATAATCACAGGCAAAAAGAAAAACAAAAACCCAACAAAAGACCAAAACCAAGCCCCCAAAAGTTGGAGTTGCTTCCAAAAAAAAAAAAAATCAGAAAAAGGCACCAAAAAAATAGCGATCGTCTCCCCCCTCCCCTGGCAAATATTGGTTTCTTCTAGTTCCTTAGATATTGCACTGCATCTTTTCTTGCTTGAGGTTATGTTTCCAGGCTTAGCTGTAGGCAGGTCTGTGTTGAAGCTACTTTCCATCTTCAGAGGTCAAGTCAGCTCGCGAGGTCAGGGCTCCCGCACACACACTACAGAAGTCACCAACCGTATTTCCCACTTAGAGGGCACGAGCAAAAGTGTTACGGCTTTATAGGCAGCTAAGCATTTGAAACATGCACTCCCAGGCAAACAGGCTCTCTTGTGCCTCTCTCTTCCCTGACCATATTTAGTCAACCATTGCAAAAAATAGTCTCTCAGCTGTCGATTGTCGATCCGGCAGCGAAGGGAGCCTCTATCCAGCTCTCTGCCTATTGATTGTGCAGCCTGCACTTCCACCGCCGCTTAGCCATTTGTCCCCAGGTTTTTTTAGCACTGCCAAATAAAGCTCTCTCTCATGTTTCCAGTTAGATTTCCCAGGTTTTCACTGAGCTTGCGCTGCTACTAGTAAACCCTGATGAGGCTGTCACTATACTTAGAAACGTTTGGGGCGGGGGGGGGGGGGGGCGGGGGGGAGGAGTGGGAGAGGGGAAAAAAAAGGCAACCCTGCTAGTAACAAGGCAGGGACTTCACGCCGATATAGAACAATAAATATCCTGCGCTGCCATAGCAGGTTGTGTAACCTGGTTTCTTGATCACTGAAAAATGCCGTGACTAACATGTCGATTAACCCAAGGTCTGAGTGGCCTCAGTCTAAGTTTTCAATTGCAAATAATACAGTTATTTCATAAATAAGAAGTCGGTGCCCATTTGCAGCCCTGCATTTCCGTATTCAAATCAAGTTAGAAATTATTTAGAAAAACTTTAATTAGTACATTCATATTATTCCATACCATTGTTTAACAATGCTGTAGTATTTTGTTTGTAATACTTATCCATAGAATTGCATCTAAAGAAAATAAATGCTTGTGTAAATTAGTTGCTATTGTTCTTTAAAAAAACTGAAGAAAAGATTAAAAAAAGAAATCAAGGGAGCAGCTCATTGCGTTAATCTTCCATGTTTACAAAATCGGCTCATGGCAAGCCTAATAACTGCACATTCAAAATATGAAGAGGGATTTTCATATTCATGGGGAGTATATGCAATGTTGTCGTTAAAAAAGAATAACTGAAATTTAGGCATTAGTCAGGAACCCAAATACTTCAAGATTCTCTGTATTTTGCAAAGAAAAGAATCTTTGCTTGGGAGCAAGAAGGATGGAAAAAGTGAAAATACCTCAATCTAAAATGAAACAAGCTTACTAAATCAAAATACCATTTGATTAATATTGATGTAATTAGTAGTTGAAGAGTTTAGTATGGTAGGGTAGAGAGTGAATTGCAAAGTCCTAAGCAGATCAGTATCTTGGATTTATACTTCCCTTGCTGCTTCTTTTTGTGTTGATTTTATCCTGTGCTTGGTAACTGTTTACTCTCTAACTTCTGTTGCTTTCTGGTAGAAGTCACATTTTTTTCTTTTCTATTTGATTTCATAATTATTCGCTGAAGACAAAGCTGTTGTGCAATACATTCTTGTGAATTCTGTGTAAATGTATATACCTTATTGTTTCTTTGGTTATATGTAGAAATTGATTTTTCAAAAGCAAGAGATGCTTGAAAATCTGAGAGGTAAAAATAAGGAATCAGATTGCCTACTTAAACTTTTACTAACTAGGCCATTGGTCAGATATGAAATACTAAACTCTTAATTTCAAGGTGTACAGTGTGCTCAGTAATACCAGTGTAAGGTATTAATCACTTCCTGTTGCTTGTTCCTGAGAGATAGATACTTCCTTCTTCATTCTTTTAGTGGTTCTCTCTGTACTGCACAGCAAGTATGGTGTGAATCAGATCAGGGAGCTGATTTGGCTTGAAGTTCTGTGCTGACGTGCACTTACGATAGTATGGTTGCCAAAAATAGTACTGTCCTGCTCCTGTATTACTTGTTGCACTATGTTGGTACAAATGTTTCTCTGGCTTCACAGTGAGCAGGCTTGAAGAACTATTCCATATGAGAAATAATCCAACTGAAGAGGATGACCTTTCAGATGCTGTGTTGGGAGCACTTTTTGTAGGAGCTTTTTTTGAGCAGAGGTGGTAGTCAGGAGAACAAGAAACACTTCAGTAAAATACGCTTTTTCTTCTGTCGTGTTGTAAAATGCATGTAAGACTACACAGTCTTAAAAGAAAACTTTGTCATGGAAGCTGCCTTTAAATCTGAACTGTTTCTTCAACTATTTGAGGCTCTAACAGAAGGCAGGTGAACAGGTTTAGCTGAGCCAGGTTGGGAGCCTGGAGAGGAGTTTGTGGGGGTGGGAGGTGGTGTGTATTTGGAGAATACTTCAAGCTAGGATTACTGTAAAATACATTATGAAACCGTGTCACGCTGAGACAGTGAAAACCTGAGTTGAGGGAGGAGAATGGCATGAAAGTAGAAAAACCTGTAATAAAAAGTGAAGTGAATCATTACAACCTCTGGTGATAGGATTGCTGATAAATATATGCTGATCTAAGACTTTGCTTCTGGAAAGGGCGGTCTGCCCTCCCCGCAGCTCTGGCTTTGTCATTTCCTTACTCCTATTGCTTCTAGTGATCATGGAAGTTGGCGGGGTAGGTTGGATTATCTCATTGATCTGTCTGAAAGCAAACTTGCCAAATCAGGAGTCTGGCAGGTTGTTTCACTTGCTAGAAAATGATGCGTTTGTAGAGCCAACATAATGCAGGAACTGAAGTGCAGGGAAAAAAAGTGGGATTGTATCTTTCAGTAGCAATTTAAGTTAAATGTGCGTATACAGATTGTGAAGTAGCCTTTCTAATTTTCTCTGCCAAAGTATTTGTTTGTAAAAAACCTTAACAAACAATCCCTGAAAGGCCAAACAAACCAGCCCCACCCCACCACTATCCCACAAACCCTCAACCTTCTTAATTTACTTCTGCATTCAGATTTACATTCTGCATTCAAATTGCCATTGGTGGCAGAGAATCTTCTCTAGTTTTTGTTCATGTATTTTTAAACAGAGTGCAAGGATGCTTTTGCAGTTAAGACTGCTAAATCTGGAATTGCTTTTATACAATGAGATGCTGGCTTCATCTTGTTTACAAATACTTTTATCTTGTAGATTTTCCATATAAATCTATACTTAAATGTTGCATTCTCAGACAGTACTGATGAGCATCAGCAAAAGTTCTATGAGCAAAGTACTGCATGAAACCCAACATTTTTATAAGTAGGTTGGTAATGAATAATATACCATATGCTAACTTTTCATTGTAAGAACAGTTTTATTTTCTGTATGTTTATTGTTGATAAACATTAAACATTTAATGTTGAAACAAGTGCTCTGTGTAGCTGAAAGTGAATTAGTGTATTGTTCACATCTGTGACATATCTTACATTGCAAATACACAATTCACACTGCTGAATTTCCATGGCAAGGGTTTGAATGAGATGATCTGTATGGTCTCTTCCAACCCAAATGATTCTATGATCCTGTATACATTAAGCTGTGGTTCCAGACTCTCTAAAAATCTGTATTTAAAAAGAAAAAAAAAGAAAGTATTACTCATGTGGCAGGGTCAAATAAAGATGCATGTGACAGCAGCATTTTCTGTTACTCTTTTACATTTCAAACTAAATGTAGTGCCATATTAGTGGATGTTCCTTTGACCAAATCACTTGTAACTGTTGAAAGTCTGTCATTTTATGGGGATGAATTACATTGGGCAGTATAAGTCAGTGTACCCCCAGCAGCTGCACCTGGGGAAGCTGCAGATACCTCCATCTCAGCTCCCTATACACACATGAGCTTTCCTTTTTGACTGAGCACATGTTTAGCTCCTTGAAAAGAAGCAATGGTTTACTTATCCCTGTTGAAGCTTTACAGATAACTCCCTCAAAAATTCTCACTGAAGTTTTTCTCTTGTTGTTCCATTAGAAATTTTCAGAGGTTGTAAATGGTCATCCAATGCAAAAAGGCCCAAAATCTTTATGAGCTTCCTGCCAAGCTGAAAATACTGCAGACCAGCAAATGCCAAAGCTTGCCTGTTACAAATTTTTTTATTGGTGATGCTTCAGTAATAATGTAGGAATAGCATAGTGATGGCATAAGTTCAGTGTTTCAATAAAGAGTTTTAAGCATTGCATCAATAATCTTTGCAACTCCTCAGACAGCCATGTAATCTGTTACAGTTGAATACACTAAAGATGATAGTTTGAGAAGTTTTCTGTAGTTGTTTTAAAGATCAGGGTTACTAATAGATTTGCTGATTTCTTGATCTTTTCAATACAACTACAGTGAAAGCAGTTTGTGGTTCATTTAATGTATACAAGATAAAAGTGAGTTTTCACATCTATGTGGTGTATACAGAGCAATACAACCCAGGTTCTTCTGTAACACTTCATGGGGAAGAGTGAATCAAGAATTACTGTGTAATTGGCAAAATTAATTCTCTAATGTGACTTTGTATGATGTATGCCTGTTCCAGTGAGTGCTGCTCTGAATGGTAGCCACTTAGCTGTCAAAATTTTGGCAGTAGCTCTAGAAAATCCTGTAAAAATTGAAAGAAACTACCTCTCATCTAATGAGGAGGAGTATGCTGCCACTGAGCGGAATTTACCATTGTAGCATTTTAATATCTTGCAAAATTTTAAGGTGTCATTCCATGAAACAGTCCTTCTATCTTCCTGTCCCATAATATAGTCTTTATCTGAATAAAAAGAAGCAGCTCAGTTCCTGGCCCTTTGATGATTTGCTGTGATAAGTAAGATAAAATCTATTCCACACGGAAGCCATTTATTTGTTTTGGTGATCCTTCTGTTTTTCCAGTAAGACCAATGCATTTTAAAAGCATCCAAAAATGTAGCAGGCATCTCATTTCTCTGAAAGCAAGATACCTCCAAATATTTTTTGTCCAAGTTCAGATAAAAATTACTCTGGTATAAGACAGCAAACTAAAGGTTTGAAAGAGAATCTGGTAAGGATAACACACAGATACTAAGACGAGTGATTTTCTTCACAGCGTACAAAATACTGAGTCAGTTGGTTTCTTATTTGTGTTTCAAAGATGAGGTGTATTAAAGAAATGTCAGTAGTATTTCTGAAGTACATTTACATATTGAGACATCTGATGAAGTGTGTCAATGTACTTTAAATTTTATTTATCTGTGGAGTTGGCAATTTTCTTATTTCCTTACTGAAGAAAAGAATATAAAATATCATTTGGTTGGTTAGGACAGTTTATTGTTTAGTGACTAGAGCTACTTTGGAGACAGGTTGGCTGTAATTGAAGTATTGATGCCCTTCCATAGTATTCTTCAAGTTGCAGTTGCAGTTTTAAGAATTTTTTTGTATTTTTTTTAAGGCTAATGTTGCCCCACCTTTTCCTGGTCGCTCAGTCATATTGCTTCTGTCAGTCATAGGGAATTTTTAGGAATTTTTATTGTGTTTTTAGACTATCCATAGTAGATACCCTAGAGCTTTATGGGGTCTTAAGAAGCACTGAGCCTGGCAGGTGAAGATAAAGAGCTTATATGATATGATGCTCTGTGGGCAGCCACTATAGAAGGCTTGTTGTGCTGTTGGCACTCTGTATCAGCCCAGCATTCTGAAGAGGTGGTGTGCCCAGATACCAAGCAAACCATAGTGCTCCAGACGTGCTCCCTCCCTAAAGCAGCTTAACACAGTTCTGATGGTGCCGAGATTTGAAAATTGGCATCGTTGCATTACAAAATAGACTGTGTTTATCAGTGCAACTGATACTGGTTTATTTTGCCACATTTCATAAAGCTTTGATAACTTGAGTTTTACTAAATTATATAATTAATTTTGAAAAATCCTGCATAAGTGAATCTCTCAAAGAATTAATGTTGCCATTGTTTTTTTCTGAAGTATTCTAGTCTTTTCTTCCTAGTGCATGTGAGAGCTGTAGAAGGTGTTATGAATAGAAGCTGAGTAATGGCTCACAATGAGCAATGTACAGTCTGTTATGTGTTGTTGTCTTACATTGCTGTGTTATAAGTGATTTGGACTGTGAGGAAGAAAGAACCTTTCTGCCAGGAAAACAAAAAAATCCTAAGAGACTGAGAATGCCTTCTGTGCACTCCGAGGAGGACAAACATCCAGAACATCCTGGCTATGGATGTTCCATGTAGCAGCTCGTTTTCTGTGGGTTTGTATGATCCTGTGACCTGAAAACTGGTTAGTTGTGATTCCTGTGGGCACTCTGATTCTGGGAGCAAAAAAGTGTCACTTAATACACCATTCTGGCAGCTGCAGCGTAAGTGTGAAACCAGGGGTTTATGTTGTGCACTCAGTAGCAGGAAAACATGGAGATGCTTATTAAGCAAGGTGTCTTATGGGAGCATCTGAGCACTGTGTAGGAGGGAGCGCACTTCCTTACTGGTACAGTAGTCTACCTCACAGACTTCTCTGCTTTCAAAGAGGGCTCATTATGGTGAGCTCTGCCCAGACACTGCTTTTAGTTTTTTTGATAGGAGACTGATTGGTTTGTCCTAAAAGAGCTTAGGAGTGAATAGCACTTCACCTCAGTGTGAATGTTCAAAGCAACAGATGGCTGGAATTAATTGGGAGCTCAGTTATTACTTGACAGGGCAGTCATTCATACCTTTGGAGGGTATTTTTAAGTAAAAGCTGAGAGGTTCAATTTATGAGGCTATCTCCGAGAATTATTGAGATTGCACATTTTTGATACCAGAACTCTAATGAAAAACTTTCATTTAATTCAGAAACATTCTCTGCCTTGCAAGGCAGTATGTGACTGAACAATTCCACTTGCATTAGCAAGTATTACTTGTGTTTTAAAAGTTTGAATTTTGTCCAGAAGTTCTGTTTCTCCTGTAGATAGCATGTTCCATCAACAGTAGGGAAACATCAGATGACAGAAGAGGTTTCTTGGCACAGGATTGTAGCGGTTTCTGGTTTTGTGTTTGTCTTTAAGGAACTGTCATAAGGGAGCTGCATATGCTGTTCATAAAGATAAGACAATAAGGGGTTTATGTTTGGTAACGTATGTATTCCAAAAGCTAAGTCAAGACATGTAAGCTTAAGAAGACTGTTTCTCAGAGAATACAAGATTGAGCAATTTGTGTATCTAGCATTGTGTTGTTAATACCCTTAACTCTTTCAGTCTAACTTTTTCAGTCTTTGGACTTCATGGATTTTACTCGGCTTTAATACTTGTAGTAATCGAGTTGCTTTTCCCCACCCTACCCCCTGACTACCAGGCACTGCCATGGTGTGTTATATTCAACCATTATGTTAAGAAAATATCCTACTATTCCTAACTGTGAATCCTCAGTTCACAGTTTCAGCATTTATTTTGTCTGTGCTTAAGAGATCTTGCTCCATTTTCTTTCTCAGAAACGAAATTTTAATTGTTACAGCCCATGGCATCAATTTATAAAGTGATGATTTTAAAGAAATCTAATGTAGTGGAACTTGGTCATTAAATACTTAAGTAAAGGACGCTATATAAAGATTTTAAGGGAGAAAATTATTTTGTCTACATTTCAGAATTTGTTTGAATACGTCTTTAATGTAATTTTTACTGCTAGGTAGCATTCTTCTGAAAAACAAACCTGATCCTCACACTGTTCCAGGCATTGTGTGGTTTGTTTGTGTGCTTTAACTAGAAGAAAGTGAACATGAAATTATTCTGCTTTGGAACTGTTGGTATAGCTTTTCACCCACTTTTTCTGTTTGAAAAGAAGACGAAAATTATTTTAGCCACTACTACGTAGTTCTGAGAATTGATGTTGTCCTACTGTTGTCATTCAGCATATGTTGTAGGGGTGTTTACGCCATCTCTGTATTTTTTTCAGCGCAATGCGTGTGTTGTTGTCCAAGTTACCACGACCATGGATTGTTGATGAGAAAAAAGATGATGGTTACACGGCCTTACATCTGGCAGCCCTCAATAATCATGTGGAAGTGGCTGAACTTCTGGTGCATCAGGTAGGACTCTTTTCTCAGGAGAATTTAAATGTCATGCTTTGGTTAACCATCTGATGTGAAAATAGTTGCCTGCAGTTGCTATGTGGAAACAGTGGAGCAGGAAAGGACGTGTTCAGCTCTAAAGGTCAGACTTGCCTTTGAGATTGTTACAATGGCCTAATGGTGCAGAGGGACTGAAAAATTTGATACCTAGTTTCACACAACAGATTAACATCTATACTTAGAATAATTGAAGTATTTAATAACTTCTGTTCTCAAATCCCCTAACTTGGAATTGTATTCAGGGTGATAGTGTCCTAATGGACTGCCTTGCCTATAGATGAGTTGGTGGGATGATAATGTTCTAATGCTTTGAATATCTTTCAGGGCAATGCTAACCTGGATATCCAGAATGTTAACCAGCAAACTGCTCTTCATCTTGCTGTTGAACGACAGCATACACAAATTGTTAGGGTAAGTATCTTATTTACAGTAAGCCATATGGTTAATGGCATTTGACTAAAGCTGATGGCAGCTGTTAAAATATGAATACTTCACGAACATTTAAAAAATTATTTGACAACATATAGTCACTGCATGTTTGTTTGATGGATTTTGTTTAATTCAGAAGCCTGCCAACTTGCACAGAAGGTCAGTCAGCAATATGAACGCCACTTGAGGCATGCTAAATTTCTGTACATGTACATTATGGTTTCTTCTATGTGCTTGCCAATTCCACCATCCTTTCTTGTTTAGTCAGGAAGAATGTGTTCAGCTGTTACTTGTTTGAATCTTGTGGTGCTGTAAGGGAACCTTCAAATAGCATTTCTGATGTCTTTTGCTGTACGAGTAATTATTCTTCCTCATTGCTTTGCAAATTGTAACACAAAGCATCTTTATATGACCTTAACTACTTTCAGTCTCTGTTTAGCATTCCCTGCTCTTAGCTTGGCAGACCTATAAGCAGTTAACAATAGTAAAAGGTGAAAGGAATGTTACCCTGGTTTTTTGCTCATGGGGTTACAAAAGTTAAACTTAACAAACCTTTGTTACTAGCACAGGAAGTGTGAGTCTGGCATAGCTTGCTGTTTCTGGCCTGTGTGCACTGTGAATCAGGACCTGTGTGGCTGAGTGTTTGCCTTGCCACTGTGGGCTTTTGAGGCTCAGACAGAGCACTCACTGCTATCAGAGTGGATACATCAACCTGACCTTGGCCTTTGGTGTAATTTTTTTGTCTTTGTAGAGTCATTTTGTATGAAAAACTGTCTCTTATTCAGGCATACACAGAATTTCCCCCACTATGCAGATCTACATTCTTTCAAGTGTTATTTTACCATAAGGTTTCTCCCTCTCTGAGGGCTGATGGGTGTGATCCCATTACAGTGAAACATGTGATATGGCCCTATATCTGGAACTGCTTGCTACCAGAAGAATGGTTTCCTAGAGTCAGTGCCACTTGCATCCTGCAAGCTATTTGCAGCTGTTTGGTGAACTCTTGTGGCCTTCTGGAATTTACACAGTACCTGGGGATACAATATTAATGTAGCAGATGAGCAGGAAGGTAGGCACGTAGAAGAGCTAGCATGTGTATTTGACTGACATGCTTATATCTGAGAATGTTTAAATGAATGACCCTGTAGAGTATCCATTTTTCAGAGGTGGATAAACTTTAAGAAGTCCTAAAATAGCTCATGCAGCCATGCAAAGAACATGTTGGCTCCATATTTCAAAATTAATTCCTATTGGATACCTTCCAGGGCTGGGTTTGTACCCTCAGGCATTTATGGAATAGTGGTCAAAGGTAGCAGGGTTCTTTTAAAAGTCCTACTGCCATGACAAAGGGCAGTGGTTTGCCTTTTTTTAATTATTATTTTTAAACTTCTGCAAAGATTCTGAAATTCTGTGGTAGTCAAGGATTCCAGGAGAAATTCTAAGCAGTAAAGAGGTGACACTTTGGCAGACACAAGATATGAATATGAGAAAAGAAATTGGGCTAGAGTAAGTCCATTTAGAGAGTGTAAGTAGTTGAGACTAGACTGTGTCAGCTATTGACTGGTTTTCTTGGTTTCACTTGTGGAAGAAATGGCTGGGGAAAACGGTAAGCTGCAAATAATTGCAGTAAGATACTTCCTTGGAAATTAGGCTTTGAACTCCTTTTAAGCTATTTTCCTTTTAGCCGGTTCTGTAGTCTGAGGTTCTTTGGTTCTGAGAAACTGAGCTCCTTGAAAGCATGTGAGTTCTAAAGAGGGAGATCTCTCTGTGTATTCCTGTTTTTAGATTATGCCTTTTGTCTCTGCTGCTGATCCCAGTTTTGCAGAGTAGCAGAAGCTCAAAAACTGAAGTTAAAACCTCAGCTGCTGCCTGCAGGTTTCTGAATGGTGACAGTGACAGGGTTTAATTTTCAGGGACAGTTGGTATTATTTTGTCAGCATTTATTGGTTGATTTGTTCAACAGCATATTTAACAAAGTTCTGGTGGCTTGAATTATGGAAGGGTTTTATGCAAAGGCCATAGGAATAGGAGGGCCTGTGCAGCCTTGTGCTTGTTCTGTGTCATGTGAACAGAACGGGTGTCTAAAATTAGCTTTAGAGACAAGTCTTACGGTTCATTACTTTCCAAAGTGTTCTGAGAGAGGTTTTAATAGTGTCATTGGTTTTTATGTCTTCTCCTGAATTAGGGTAAACTGAAGTACATGCTTAACTACTTTGCTAATGCGAAGACACTGTAAATTAAGTTTTAAAGTTCAGCATGGTGTGAAAGTGGTGATTTTTGAGGTCATTGAAATCTAATAGTTAAAAATATATACCTAGCTTAAGTATTGCACATATTGCTGTAATAGATTACATTGTTTGTAGGCTGTCTTACAAGAATTAAAGGCTAAGGAAGTAGAAAGAATCCTCTAAAATTGTATCTTTCGTAGCATTCAGAGCACAGGCAAGCATTAGCCTTCTGCTGAAATAAGCTTGATGCTTGAGACAGATAAATGCTTTGGTTGAGGGCTGAGCTCCAGGTATGGAAAAGAAATTTAAATTAATTCAGCTGTGAATTGTAGCAAGATAGGAAGTAGCCCGTTAGAGCCTCCTAGAGAATCCTAAACTATAATTTTATGAAATTATTTCTAAAAGAAATAAATAGGGAGTTTTTTTGTTTGTTTTTTTCTTAATATGGGTTCTCTCTCTTTCCAGCTCTTAGTCCGTGCAGGTGCTAAATTGGATATTCAGGATAAAGATGGGGATACTCCCCTGCATGAAGCCCTGAGACACCACACCCTGTCACAGCTCCGCCAACTCCAAGACATGCAAGATGTGGGCAAGGTAGATACTGCTTGGGAGCCATCAAAGAACACAGTAAATAAAACACATTTATTTATTTATTCTTTTTTTTTTCCCCCTGTATAATTGTCTCTTTGTCTAGTTCTGTACTGTTGGACTGGTTTTTGGCAGCAGAAGTTTATATAGACATTCTGCATTAAATTGCAGTGCAGGCACAAATCATATTGTTATATGTGACTTTTCATGTGAAGCCACTATCTTTTTTGAATAAAAAGAGGGTTATGTAGCTCAAAAATATTTTTACAAATTTCTCTTCTATAGTGAATATGTCTGTCTGCCAAAAAATCAAAGTTTAGCTCTTTTGGAAAGAGAATTAAACTGTATTACAGTACAGAATAAGACTGAAATAGTTTTCTGTGATTCAGCATCTTGCATGTTTTTATAGCTTTAATTGCTTAGTTGCTTCTATACCTTTCTCAAAGTATGTTCTGCTAGAACAAGGCATTCTTAATTTTGTATGTTTATTGATATGTATATTTTTGACAGAGTTAATTTTAGAAATTATGCTGTAGTAAGGACATAGTTTAAAAGCCTCCAGGTAATAAAAACATTCTACTGAAAAAAAAAAACTCTCACACCCAAAAATCTGTGTGAACCCTTTATGAAAGGTGACATTTATAGTTTGCCTGAGAGACAAAGGAAAAATATAAATATGGAGCAATTCAGATTGAGAAAAATAAACTTTTTTTTTTTTTTGGTATTAAAGATGCACAACATAATGATGGGTCAGATCTGCTAAACTGTTAGTTACCAGTATAATTTTTTTCTAATTTTAACAGTGGGTTAAAATAAGAAAATTTTGTTGTTGTTGTTTTTGCATTTCATTAAGAAAAGACAAATACACCAACTTTATGAAAAAGTCTTTGTTCAAAACAATAATTCCACTGTAAAAAATTTTTTTTCAGATTGGTTACTTAAGCTCACTGAAGTACACTGGAATAAGCTTTGAAAGAGATTTGAAGTATGACTAGCACGTGTAGAGAAAATGCATGTGTCCTTTTAAATGAGACAAGAAGAGCGGTTACAGCTCAGTTGTTTCCATGATCTGAAATGGACTGTATGAGAGCTGTCTGGAATACTTTGTGTTCATGTGTTTAACTGTGGAATGAATGAAAGGGAGATTTTTTTTTTCCTCAGATACAGCATTTCATAAATTGGTTTCTCTGCCCAGTTTTATTAATGGCATCCACAATGAAACTAGAGTTGTGTATTGAGTTTTGAGGGTTTTAACAGAAGAAGTGGGAGTTTTTTTCCATCACCTTTTAACTTTCTTGTTGGGGGGATTTTACGTTTTAGAGAATTAAGTTTTATTTCTAGTTTTATTTGACAAGTATCCTTGGTTTAAACCAAAAGTGTAATTTTAAAAAAAATTCCATGGAAGTAATAAAGAGCAGGCAAAAGATAGCGTGAGAAGCAAAGAAAAAAAATTCCCTCATCATTGTATCTCTGATCACCTAAAAATGTTTTAAAGTTTTAAAAAAGTATGATCAACCAATACTTCCTCTCCTTTCTCAGCATGATCAAACTACTGGTCATTTCTTTGCACTTTGTTTAGCTACAGAGAAAATTTTTACCAAACTAACAAATTTGGGAGGTTTAAGTGGTGTGGAGAAGATAAGTTCTGTCAGAGATGAAAACTTGCTTTTTTTCGTTTTATGTGAAATGTAAAAGATGGAGTAAACATAGCTGAAAATGCTTTACGATGATCAGCAAATCAAACCAAATCAAACTGGAATTTTTTGTGAAAAACAGTAAATAAGAACAATACTTGTACCTATGTAGCTTTATTTAAATGGCAGTAAGGTCAAAAATCTATAAACTAGATTTTACCATGGAACAGTTTTAAATATTAAGCTGCCTTTGGTCCAAAATTGAGTATCAACAAAGACAGAATTGAAGCTGTGAAAATATGTGCAGGCATCTGGACCTTTAAATCTACCCAAGGACACATTGGTAATTTGTCTTGTTTGGAATTGCAAATACAAGTGATAGATAATAGAAGATAAATCAGATTAATAATTTAGCCTGGGAATCAGTAAGGCTTTCTTTTTGTAAATGTGATTACTTAAATTGAAGGTTTGTTTAGGGAGATTTTTTTATTATTTTTCATTAATTCCTTTAAAGGTTGGGAAATGTGTCAGATTTCATTAGGCTAAGTGATAGCAACACATCTCTGTAAATACTTAGTATTTTAGAGCTCATTTTTGCTTGGCTCTATTTTAATTAATTTTGGACTGCTGTCCTAGAGATTCCAGCCTACTGAGGCCTGTAGGGTGCCTCTTTGGTACTTGAACAAATAATTATTTCTATTTTTGTTTTAGTAATAAACTGAAAAGTTTCATTTGCAGGATTTTAGGGCTTTTCCATACTAATCAAGTTGGTTGGACAGCAACTCATTGAAATTGTATGATTTGTTACTTTTTACTTCGACCACTGTTTAAAATATGAAACCATACTTTTTACTGATTATCATTAATTTACTTCATAAATGGAACTAAATGGAATGAATTCTTTAACAATGATTTTTTTTTTAGTAGTTCCTTGTGATTGCAAACGTTATGCCTGTTGGAACAGGCTCCCCAGGGAAGTGGTCACAGCACCAAGCCTGCCAGAGTTCAAGAAGCTTTTGGACAATGATCTCAGGCACCTGGTGCAAATCCTAGGGCTGTCCTCTGCAGGGGCAGGAGTTGAACTTGATGATCCTTGTGAATTCCTTCTAACTCAGGATATTCTATGTTACATCTAAAACAATTTTTGTCAGGTTTCTTAGGTTGGTTTTTTGATAGACTATTTAAAATGGATGTAGTTAACGATCTTGATAGTACACAACGCCCTACTCATTTTAGGTACCACTCTGAAAAACATTTTTGTGCTCAGGTGCTATGAGAAGTGAACCCCATTTCTTTAAATAATTTTCAGGTTTTCTATCCAGCATATTGTTGTGATTGTACTGCTGGGAGGAGAAATTTTCTGAAGTATAGTCTATACCACCACAAAAATGTAATTTGAATTACTTGATTACAGATGCACTGTTCTGGCCTAGAGTATACATTTATTTATCCTAAATAAATGTAATATTCCCAGGGTCATTTTGTGTAATTTATTTTAATATAGGTGTCTTTCTGACCTTTAAAATGCTTTTAAAGGATGCCACTGCCTAAATCCTAACTTAAAAGAAAGAAACTAATGGCAAGTGTTTACTGCTTCAAAGGTAGCTCACTAGTTACAATTACTTAGATTATATTTATACAGTTTTCATGGATTAAATTGAGACTAGTGAATTGGCTGGGACTAGACTGTGTTGATGCGTTTCAGGGTTAGCCCCCTCCGGAGATAATTTGCTGCAGCCATACTGGGCACTAAGACATCATAATGGAGAATATTTTGTGTCTGTGCTGTTTTGTGGTGTTCTCATTCTTTGTGCCTGAAAAGTTGCATGCTTATTGAGAAATGTCATAGAATGCAATGTTGTCCTGGTGTTTTCAAATTGTTCAGCCTGCCAGAGGCATTTTAGAACCTAGGGTTTTTGTGACCAGTGTAGATAACCATTCCATGATGACACTGCCAACCCTGGAGCACATCAGTTTCACTGGGTGTTGTGCTGTCTTAATGTTGGCTGGATTAATAGTATGGTCCAAAGTACCAGGGCTGTAGCTGAGTAAAATCTCTGTTTTGCTTCAGCCAATGCTGTAATTGGAAGTGCAGAAAAATGGCCTCAATTGATAAATTAAAATTTTCTGTTATCTGAACACCATGAAACAATTCATTTCCATAACTTACTGATTTTCCTGATATAAAGCCTTTGGAGCTACACTGTTCTTACCTAATCATGAGTAAGAATGCAGGAGGAGCATCTGAATTCATTAAGTAACCTTCAGTAGTCTTGTAGCCTCAGTGATACATATTGATAAAAGAACTTCTAATTTAAAAAAAATGTACAGACTGAGGTTTAAAAAAATACTTCCCTAAGCAACTGGATTTCCTTGAGTTGGAGCTGCCCTAGCTTTGCCGAAGCTCTTCCTTTGAATAAAGTGTAGTGTAGTTTGCTGACGGATTCTTAGTGATGCCAACGGTTCTGTGTTATACTTAATGCATTTTATCTGACTGAACTTTAATACAAAAAAGATGTTGGGAGCAGGCCCAGATTGCTCTGGAGTAGGGGTCTGCTCTTTGCTGGGCTGTGGTGGCGAGCCTTCCTAGTGTTTCTAGCTGACCCTGTGAAGCAGTAACATGAGGATATATAACAGCTGTAAAAGGGCAAAGTAGCATTATGTGATTAGACGGGGACAGTGTGTGTGTTTTAATCCATCCAGGCTGAGACAGAAATTGAGTTAATTTGTTGGGCAGGTACTTACTTGCTGGACAAAAAGTAGATGTGTATTCATTTCCCTGCTCAACTGTTTTCAGTCCAAGTGTGGTGGTAGCATTTTGTCTGAACTGAGCAATTTGAGTATATACTGAAGTGTGTTCTGAATATACCCGCTGGAACTTTGCCCTTTACAGTGCTTACATAGAAGGACAGCCACTTCACATGTGAGTGTAGGTGTGCAGGGGATTGAGTGCTTCAGTAGCTGAACAATTCCTTGCTGAATTTAGTTCCCTAGAGGAAAACTGAATATAGCTGACTCAAAATTAAGCAATTGTTTTGATTTTAGTTCTAGAGATGTTTCCTTGGGCTTACATGTTTATGCGTATATGTGCATGTGCACAGATCAAGTAACTTTCCTTTAGCCAGATGATTCTTAACTGTTTAGAGAGTCTTTCTTGTTTACGTATTTGTTTTCTTTTAGTTAATAATGGGTCTTGGTACTCAAGGAGCAGAGAAGAAGAGTGCTGCATCTATTGCCTGCTTCCTGGCAGCCAACGGGGCTGACCTCGGCATTCGTAACAAGAAGGGTCAGTCCCCTCTTGATCTCTGCCCTGATCCAAGTCTCTGCAAAGCATTGGCTAAATGTCATAAAGAAAAAGTCAGGTTCGTATATTCATAAAATACATAGTTTCCAAATCTCTGCTTTCCACAGATTAACTGATTTATTTAAAATGTCGAGCCTTTAATTAGCAATAGTTAATGAAAACATACAAATCTGGGGGTTTGGTGGGGTTTTTTGTGTTTTTTGGGTTTTTTTTTTTATATGGTACACTGAATGCTATTCACAAATACATTAATTGTAATTTACCCAAATCTTAGAGGACTTTCATGCATATTAGTATGGAAGAGGGGAGAGTGACAAGGTGACAGTCTTCAGGTGGAGGTTAGTAGAACTTCACAAGGGGGTTTGGGGGAAAATCCCTGGAAGAATAAATAGCAAAGCGTTGCAAACAGGTCAGCCTGGGAAGTTGTGAAATCTCTGTCCAGACAACTTTCAATGACTGAAATGGGCAAAGCCCAATATAAACTGATACAAATTCAGTGTTGATGCTGCTTTGAAGAGGTCACCATCTCAACTCGCTGAGTATCTGTTAATCTGAACAACTGTATGTTTCTGTGTAAAGAGAATGAGGGGTTTGGTTTAGGAATTACGGTTTCAGTGAAATACCATGTTATCAGGTCCATGCAGTGTCAGATGATTCACCTTGTCCTAGTTATGTTCCACTGCTGTTGCCGCATATGATTCTTATCCTTAATTCCCGTATGGAAATCAAAACCATACTTTTAAAATGTGACAAAGAGAGGCTGTTTTTATTGATGTTGCCCTGGTGAGAGGAGTAAGGTTCGTTCTTCCTTTCGGAGTCAGTGCGTCTCTGTGTGTGTGTAAGGCTGGGCACGCACGCCCTCTACAGGCAGCGCAGCGCGGGGCTCCGGCCCGGCGTGAGGCACTGCCGGCCGTGGGATGGGCGAGGCCCAGGGGCTGCGTGTGCCCGTCAGAATCACAGGGCACGTCTCTGCTAGTAAAGCAAGCTCTTAGGACGAGAGGAAGGGACTTTTTACATTCACGATACAGTATCGTGACTTGTGTGTCCCGTTTCTGTACAATGCCTTATCCGAGTGTGCGACCTTGTGGTCCATTGTCAGCTGTAATTCTTGGAAAAGGCAGTCCAGATTGCTTTATGGTCATACATTGATGCCTGAGTGCATTGGAGTATATAAGTGGCCAGTTGATGTATATTTTAAATTGAGTGGGTTTTTTTTTATTCTTATAAGTTTGACTGCAAGGTTTCTTTGTAGTGGCCAGGTTGGTTCCCGAAGTCCGTCTATGATCAACAATGATTCTGAAACCTTAGAAGAATGTATGGTGTGTTCAGACATGAAGAGAGATACTCTGTTTGGCCCATGTGGCCACATTGCCACGTGTTCTTTGTGCTCACCACGAGTGAAAAAATGCCTCATCTGTAAAGAACAAGTTCAGTCTAGGACAAAGGTAAAAGCCTCTGAAATTTATTTTTTCTTTTATAATGGAAAAGTAAAAGAAAAAAAAGGAAAAAAGAGAGGTTAAAGAAATATATATCTTCTTTTATGTGGTATTATGCCTTACACATGTCTCACTGGATGGAATTAATTTTGCATCATAATGATATCTTGCTCTTTTCTGTTTGTCTGTCATACCTACCTCTCCCTGCCTTGTAATGTCTTTATTGTTCAGGTCTTCAGAGTTCCTAATACAGTCACCTGAGGATGCTTTATTGAAATAGACTATTTCCCCCTGCCATGGTATCTTTTCTTCATGTTAAGATAAATTGCTGCTTTTTCTGAAGTATAATTTCCCTCAGTAATACTGAGTTCTTCTATTCCTTAGGGCTGCTTGAAAGATGATTTGCCTGTAAACTGAGTTAATATGTGCTTGTTTGTGTAGTTAATAATTATTTTCAGCTTTCACCTTCTTTTTCTATGGAAAGATGACTTTCATTACAATGTCTTTTTCCTTCAGAGAATCAACCAGTCATGCCCTATTTTGGAGACCAAGGTTTCTCAGATGGTTACTCCCAGATAGTTTTGACTATATGGGTACATCCTCTTTATTTTCTGTTTTATTTTATTCCTTGTAATCACTAAGACTAGTCCTGGTTTCTTTTAGCTGTTAAAAAGAGAAATCATGTTCTGAGCTTGGATTTATGTTTGGCTTTGGATTGGCTTTGGGCTTTGTTTTTTTTGTTTGGTTGGGTTTTTTTGGCTTTTGTTTTTTTTGGTTGGTTGGTTTTTTTAGGAAACCAAACTGTTTTTATATTTATTTTTTTTTTAATTTTTCCAAACATATTTGATTGGTCTGCTTCTGTGGTATGTTGTTTTTCCCTCCATTTCTGAGTAAGTGTAAGAATTGTAAATATTAAGTTGCACTGGTTTTGATATTCACTCTCTTATTCTTCTTATACTGTTCACTGTACTGCATTGTGTATGTTCAAAAGCCAAATGTTAATATAGTGGGAGCTTCTTTTCTCTAGATTTTCTTTATAGTAAATTAAAGGGTTCTGCCACTGGGTGATTTGGAGCAGCAAAGTGAGGGTTCTGCCCCTACTCATCCATCTGAAGAAGCTAATCTAAGGAAATCAGCTTTCCCAGGTGAAAGCTAAGCTTTGTGGATAACCTTGCTTTGATTTCTTTTGCTGAATTAGTTTGAGAGATTGGAATATCTGGTCAATACTTCTCGTACTGTATATACTTCTACTTATTGTACTTTTCTGTATAAAAACTTGCAGTAGTATCTGCAAGGCTAAGAAATGATTGAATCAGGACAACAGTTCTGTGAACTGGAAGAGGTGGCCTAGGCCTTTATAAATGGAATTGTACGTGATGACTATGATCATACTGCATATGCCCCATCCCTGGAAGTGTTTAAGGGCAGGTTTGATGGGGCCATCAGTAATCTGGTCTAGTGGAAGGTGTCCCTGCCCATGGCAAGGGTTGGAACTGGAGAATCTTTAAGATCCTTTTCAATCCATTCAATGATTCCATGATATATACAGCTCTCACATAAAAGGACTTGAGAAACCCTGACCCAGAACATTTCTGTAAAAGTACCTTTTAAGTGAACTTCATGGGATCACAGAATGTTGGAAGGGGCCTTTAAAATCAGTCATGTAACTGACATAGAATGCAGTGCAGTGAGCAGGGACATCTTCAATGAGATTAGGTTGCTCAGATCCCTGTCCAGCCTGACCTTGAATGTTTCCAGGGATGGATCATCTACACTCTGGGTAACCTGTTTCAGTGTTTCATGACCTTCATCATAAAAAATTTATTTCTTATGTCTAGTCCAAATTTGCTTTATTTTAGTCTAGAACTATTACTCCCTGTACTATTGCAACAGGCCCAGCATAAAAGTTTGTTCCCATCATTCTTAAAAGGCACTTTTAATTACAAAAAGGCTGTAATAATGTCTTCTTGGAGACCTCTTCTTCAGGCTGATCAACCCTGATTTAAGTATCTGTGATGGAATAAAGAATGAGAAAAGAAAAAAGAAAAATAAATTTATGCTGTCCTAACTGCTTCTCTGTGCCTGTCATTGTACTGAATGTATAAAAATTGCCAGCAAATATCTGTTCTTACAAGTTAGCGTGATAACTCATTTAAGTTGCATATTGATATGCTGAATTAGTTAAAAACGCCACTAGATGGAGATTCTTGAAGCCCACATGCCTTGCAAAGTAGTGTAGAGAGCAGGAGATACACTTTGCTCACATGTATATGTTGTTCTTAACAGATTGAAGAATGCGTAGTATGTTCAGACAAAAAGGCAGCGGTGCTCTTCCAGCCATGTGGTCATATGTGTGCCTGTGAGAGTAAGTAACTTTACAAAATCTCTTTTTGAAATATTCGTGAAACAGAATGCTTTTAATCCCATTACTAAAAGGTCATTAGTAATCTGATTTCAGGTTCAATTTACTTGGTGTGATTGTCAGAATTTTGGCATTATTTGTCCTGGTGATAATAATTGGGAGACAAAGTGGAGATTTTCAAAAATTTAGAAAGCATGTGTGCTTTCATCTGAATTATGTGAGTAGGCTTTCTCATATTATAGAAGCAAGCCTAATACAGTATTGTGAGCACTTTGGAAGTGATTAGAATTAATTTTGTTGTTTTGTTGCAGCTTTTTGAAAGCATTCAGATATATAGATGGTGTTTTAAAAAAGCATTATAAATAAGTACTTACTCTGCTTTATTATTAATCTACAGATTTTCACAAGGGCTGTGTTTTCCCCCAAAAGTCACATCATATATCTTTGCAAAGGGCACCAGTTATGGTTCACTTTGATTTACCCTGTGTAGTGAAAAAATACATAGTAGATCTCCAGATTTTTTTTGGTTTTGAGTATATATGGATGAGAATGCAGCTATCACCTTGTCTCCAGACATTTCAGGGCTTTGTTGAAGGGTCATTTCCCTGTAGAAGAACAGTCCTTATTGATGCGCATCTACATAAGAGGGAAGGTAATAATTTCCATGAGTAACTGCTTGCCTGGACTTGCTGAAGAAGTCTGGTTTCTTCCTCTGTTGTGGCTGAGGCAGCTGATGTCGAATCACTGATTATAGTTAGCCTGATCTGGCCTCTTTCACTGTCTGCAGTTGAAAGATGATGAAAGAAGGTTTTTTGAATTTTTTCCCAGGAAAGAAGACAACAAAAAGATTGATTACTGTGGTGAAGGATTTCAGCAGCGCAGTACATGTTACCAAGTCTAAGCTGTAACAAGGACAGCAAAAGGTTTAAAGCTGTAGATGTTTTCTTTCCCAATTCTTTTCCTGGACATCTTGTTCAAGCAGGACAAGAGAGTCTTGGAGTTTATGTATTTTATAGGACTCAGTGTCTTGATTCATAGTAGCCTTTTAGCATTTATGTGACAGTAACTTGCCTTTAGTAGAAAAATTACAGCCCTCTTACTAGAATTATATCAAAAGATGTAGGTTTACTTGTAGGGGTAAAGACCTGCACCTCTTTGCCCCTGGAGCATTGGGACCGTTTGTGAGATTCTGTGTTCTAAAGAAAAAAACAGATAGCCAGGACTTTCTTGGAAGTTCTGGTCTCAAATGTCTGATTACCTTTTAACTTCTGTAATTTTTGTGGACTAGACATCCATTTGGAGAAAGAGGAACTTATTCACTTGAAGTATCTTAAAAGGAGGTAGAGAATAGATTAACTTTGAATCACAAACAGGACATTGTTTAGGTGTGATTTGCAGAAAATTATGTGAAGATAAACTCAAGTAGTTCTTTGTATTATAAGCATCTGTTGAGTCATTGCTGTATACTCTGAATAAACAAACTCATGGATAGAAAAAAAGAAAAATGAAATGGGAAGATTCAGTTGATTTATTTCTCTGTTTCCTCAGATTGTGCAAGCTTGATGAAGAAGTGTGTACAGTGTCGGGCAGTGGTTGAGCGAAGAGTGCCTTTCATAATGTGCTGCGGAGGGAAAGGTACAGAAGATACCGGTGATGATATTTGTGAGTGACTCCAGAGCCCATACTCTCTCATGTTCCTCCACCAATTTATTCTCATTCTCTTAAATGATCTAAATATTTCTCTTCTTTCTGAAGAAAAGTTTACTGAAAACAGTGTTAACCCAGGTATCCCTTTGCTGTTTGCATGACTTTCTGCATCGGTAGCAGCAAACTTGGTAACACCACCAGTCATTACACTGGAGAGTTGCTTCCAGCATTCAGAGTAGAACCCAAAATACGTGTGATGACTTTGCCACTTATTAACGCCTTAGGAGGTAAAAGCTGAAGATTGTCTGAGATGGTGCAAATGAGCAAAGAATTTATATTTTTTTACCTCTGGTACTCTGGAGGAATGGTAAGTATTTTGCATCTAGGTACAAGCAACTTTCCTGAGAGAATGTCCAGTTTTACATCTCCTCCTTTGACTAGTTTTTAAACTATTTGTGACTTACTTGAGTAATTTCTATGAATTATTTGTATTTACTCTGTGTGTATATATGTGGTATACAGCATTTTGGTTGAGTTTATGGGAATTGGAATATTAATTTATTCTTCTCTTTATGTTCTGAAATAGATAAATACAAGAATAGTAATTGAAATCAGGTTTTCAATACTCACACTGGAAATTTAAGACTTGACAACTTTTTTTCATATAGTAATATTGCTTCCCAGATCAGACAAATACAGGAATATTAATCTGAGCTTCTTCAAATTTTGAACAAACTATTTCCAAGACACTTGGGCAATTTTGACCACCAAATAGAATCATCTCTATAGATGAAAAAGTCATTTCAGTGTGAAGGAATTTGGCTTTTTTTTTTTCTTTAAATATGTGCAAAAAATATTTATGTCAGGAACTTCACTGACAAATAAGAATTCTGAGAACATGAAGGGGCATCATTATTATGGAAATAATTGTCAAAGAAGTGTTGCCACTAAACTCAAAGAAACTCTTTTGTTGAGCTGCAGTGATGGTGTAGTGAATTTAGTTAGATTATCAAAAGATGGTTGATTAACTTTTTTTCAGGTAATTGAAAAATTGTTGCTGTGACACTGGAAATAATTATTCCTGGCTCTTTAGATTGCGGCATAATCAAGTATCTTTATTTTCTTTTAATGTTACAGCAAGTGGAAACATTCCAGTTTTGCAGAAGGACAAAGACAACACTAATGTCAATGCGGATGTACAGAAGCTGCAGCAACAGTTGCAAGACATCAAGGAACAGGTAAAGGTGCTGGATAAAAATTGTGAGGACCACTAAGTGCAGCAACCACTTGATTGAAAAAGCTAATGCATCCTCTATTATTTAAAACAAAATATCATTGAAGTGCATAATGTCTTAAACTTTAGTTAAAAGACCAGTATTTTTTTGTGTGATGTGGCTTTATGTCCTCTATGTACAGTTTAAAAGAAAAAAATCAACTGGCCATGTTTGATAATCCATCTGTTAGAGCATGTGTATTGATGTGGCTAAATAAGTATGCTCTGCCCAGTCAGTACATTCTCTGACTGTTTAGCTCACCTGAATGTGTAGTTACAGCAGAAGCTGTTTTCACAGAAAAGTCATAAAAGTAGATCATCTTCACTGTTCTGCATCTATCTTAATCTTGACTTGTCTGTTCATTAACTGCCTTGGAACAGTGGCTGACAGTTACCTGTCTTACAAAGGATATAGTGAACACACTCTCCAAAAACTTCAAAAAACTGTGTGGCTGCAAGGTTAAAACTTGGAAAGTATTATACATGTAGTTCAAATACTTGGAATTTAAATTAAGGTTTATCTTTGTAATTAGGTATAGTCTTAGCAGATCTTTCAGCAGTAAGAGATCAGGAGCATCTGGCTAATGAATGAGCTTACTCTCTTAGAGCCCTGACAGTGCGACTTTTTGCTTCCATGTGTATAACACAGTTGGAATAAACTTTTCATGGATACAGGAAACTGAGGTGTTCTAGCTTGCCCTTTCCTCTAGTAGGCTTAAAGCAGTCCATAATACTTCAGTGATAGCAGCATCACATCTAGTCCTGGTAATTGTGGATTCAGCTGTTCATGTGCATGAAAGCCAGGGCTAGAACGGTTAGATTGCTGTTTTTAGGGCCTGTGTTTCTAAATGCCTTAAATTTGAGATCTGATATGCTCAACTAAATGTCTGTGAAGAGCTGTTCCTGTCATACGGTGACTGGGACAGCACCCCAGTAACAGAAATTCAAAACAGTTTCCCATGTAGTTTTTATCTGTAAAGAACATGCAGACTGAAAATTGTAATTTGAAAATGCATGTCTGTCTTACCCAGAAACTCCAAATGTTACTGTCATCTCTAATGTCTTGCATCCACTGTTTAGCTTCTGCTTTACATTTTAGCATTGAATGGAAAGAATAAGGTTATTGTTTTGGCTTTTGAAATGATACTTGCAAAAGATGCCAGATGCATGCTTAAATGCAAGTAGTCTGTATTCTTCAGATATATTTTTTCAGGGTACTTTAGGAGTTTCAGAAGATTGGAGTTCTGTTTGGGTATGCTGATATTCTTATGTAGGCACATGAGAAGAAAACTACTTTATGTTACAGTTTTTCTTCTTGATTAGACGTGATCTCAGGGGTTTTTTTTGTCAGTTTTCCTTAGGTGCTATTTTATTCTCTATGATGTTATCTAACACTTGGGATTTTGCCTGCCAGCAGCCAGAATTGTTCAGTGCCTCTGACTAGAAAGAGGTGGTTCTGGTCATTCCTTCTGTGCCTTTTGGCTCAAAACTCTTGTGTTTTCTTTAGTGTCTTCTGTGCTTAGTCTTATGACAGGGCAAGTTGTATCATACTTGTGAGTAGCAAGTCGGATTTGATTAAAATTGATCATCTCGTCTTATAAATTTGTGGTTGAAGTTATGCCCAGCATTCCACTATAATTGTGTTGTCTTTTGATTTGTGCTGTAACAGTTCAGTCTTTGTGTTCAGTTTTTTTTTTTCTACTTAAAATTAATTTGTTCTCTTTCAGCAGGTATAAGCCTTTGTTTCAACTCATACCTTCAATGATAATCTAATATGTTAGTGCAGCAAGCTTTTAAAACTATTTCTGGTGCCAAGCAGAAGTGATGCTGATGTCAACAGAATCTCCCACATCTGATGACCACACCATTCTTCAGGGATTCCCTGAATGTGAACCCTTTTGACTGTAATTGCAATACCTTCACTCCATTTCATACCTAATCATCATCATCTGTCTAACATCTTACGTATGTTCCTTCACCATACTTACATCACTGTCTTCTTCCTTAAAAATAAATTTATTTTGTCACTGTGCACCTATATATTGTTGTTAAAACTGGTTTTAATAGTGAGGAATTGATACTTCAAGCAGTTTAAAGCACCTTGTTAGTGGAAAAAAGTTTGAGTAGCAAACCTAGTTTTACTTAAGGTGCAATGAGCACTTTCCCAGAGTACTTACCTGAAGAAGTAATTCTCATCTAGAACAAGCATAAAGTGGCTTTTTAAACTATTTGTTTTCCTTCAAACAATGAAAGTCAAATGTTTCAGGCAGATAAAAAGTGGGATTTCCTGTGGAGGATGTTCCAATAGACAGTACAGTAGTTACAGATACTCCTTATTTTCTACTGCCCAAATGGGGCATAAGGCTTGCAGTGAACTTTCACTGTAAAAGAACATGTAAGATGGTGGTTAAGTAAGGAATTCTCCTTCAGAGTTGTATAAAACTCAGTTATCTGGGCTTGTATTCCACTGGGAAACTGCTAAACTAATTGAGAAAAGCCTGTCAGAAGAGAATTATGTAGCAAACAGGAAGCTTATTATTCTGTCAGCTGAGTCCTCCTACTGTGTGAAGTAACTTAAGAGTTAAGATAGTATCATGCTAAGAAATTAAACAGCTAATATATTTTATATACTCTGCTTTTGTACTAAGCAAGAGAAATAGGGGAATTATCTAATACTGTGTATCTATGAATTGAAAATGTTGGGGGTTCTGTCCTTTATTGAATGAAACAGTTCAAAGTAATGGTGTTTCAAGAGATTTTAGTTTTTTATTATTTCTGTGTCCCTTAATGAATGTTTTCATTTTTAAATGATGATGTAGCATTTGGAGAGAAGCATACCCTTGTAACTTCAGTAATTCTGACATTATATTTAGACACAAAAGCAAATAATTAGCTAAAACATAGAATAAAGGCTACACATTAGGGATTTCCTAAAGATGAGTGTTTACTTTCTCAGTCCTTGTGAAAGTTGATCATGCCAATGCTGTCAAGTTATAGACACTTGTCACACAGCTAATGTGTATTCATTACATTGGAAATAGCTGTTTCACTGATAGCTGAAGTCTGTGAGTTACTGAAGGAAGAATACTCTGAAGGTTCCATTGATGTGTGGGATGAGAAGGGGATGACTTAGTGTGAATGGAAAAATGAGCAGGACTGACTGACAGGCAGTCTTCCATAAATTTTTAGTTTGAGAATGTTTTATTACAGTATTGCAGAAATTCTGGCAAAGCTGGAGCACAGCCCCCTTCAGGGCTTTTTTTAAACATAAATTGACTTAAGGCTTTACCTGAAAGTTTTATTTTTCTGCTAGCCCATTACACTAGTATCTTGGAGATTAAAATAGTAATTTGGCTGGATTCCATGCCAATTTAAACTCTTAAGCAGAATATGGTGAATTTTTTTTTGTCTTCAATTAAGCTATCTACTGTAAGAAGTAATACCTATTGATTTCATAGAAAATGTGCCTTAGGGTTTTTCTGAATAGGGTACCTTGGTATGGATTTTCTCTCATGTGATGAACAAATTGAGGTAAAACCTCCATGGTGAATGCAAAAGCAAGTCATAGGTGCAAGTTGGTGATAAAATGAATTTGTATTTGAAATATGAGCCTTGTCAGTATTTCATGTTATGTATGAGATCAACCTTTATAATTGTTGGATGAATGTAGTATATCTTAGATATGAGGATATCTTAGATTTGATTTAATCTGATCTATAGAATGGTTTTAACAAATTTCATCTGTTGTAACATCTTCATTTATTAACATTTGATAAACTGTTATAAATGAAATCCTAATATGGCTGCAGTATGTTTATGGTGAAGGAACATGCCTTATAAAAACTTCAATTTCTGCACATGACAGAAGGTGAAGGACATTGTTCCTTAGTGCTTGGTACAAAATGAATTTTGCTGGTGAACAGCTTTGGGCACTGACTATCACTTCACATTCAGCAATTAAAACTGATTTTAAAAGTTTGCTGTGCTGCTCTTATGAGTGAAGGTTATGGATTTGCTAAACCATTCTTCATTTGAAACTTGAGGTGTTCTTTTGGTTGAAAATCTAGATAACTTTCACAAATAAAGTACTAAATTTTTACATGTCTTGATTATGCCACATTTTTATTCCTTCTGTGGGTGCTTGGTGTTTACAGGTAAGTATATGAAGGGCTAGATAGCCTGAGAAGAAATTTGTAAATCATTACCAAGCATTGAATGCATCAAGTTGTTTATGTTTTGTTCCCTGGAAGATTACATGATGTAAAGGAGAATGTTTCTGAAGAGTGTTTTGATGTTGCAAACTTGTGTAATGATATCAAAAATATGATGTCAGCCTACTACTGGATTGCCTTAATTAAACTAAATATATTTAGAAAAAAATCCATGTAGTAGTTTATATCACGATGGAGTAGGAAAAGCCCGTATATTTTAAGTCAATGTGGAATAAAAATGGAATTAAAAAAAAGCCCAATGTAGCTTAGTGGCTATGGCAATGCTATGCTTAGGATGACATATTGTTAAATTTCAGCAATTTATATGTTGCATACTCAGTACTGTGTAACTACTACCACTGACTATGTAACCTGTCAAAATCTTTTCCAGACTATGTGTCCTGTCTGTTTGGACCGCCTGAAGAACATGATCTTTCTGTGTGGCCATGGAACGTGTCAGCTTTGTGGAGACCGAATGAGCGAGTGCCCCATATGCCGCAAGGCAATTGAACGGAGGATCCTTTTGTATTAAACAGGAGCCAGTGTCTTTACTAGGTTGTGAAAGAGTAAGGACATGTTGATGGTTTACACCTCTGTAAGTTTAAAAGGCAGTGAAGGGTTCTGGCGAAAACATTTCTAATACTGTAGCACAGGTTTGTTACATAGACATTGTTTAAAGACTGTGTACACACCAAATAAAAGAAACAGTATTTGAACAGTCAGCTTGTAGCTTTACTCTTAAAAAACATCTAAGCCTAATGCTAATTTAAAGCAGTCTTTTTTTCATTTTGTTTCTGTCTTCTTCTTCCCCTTAAAGTTTAAAGGGACAATCTTATTTTGGTTTTGTTCATGTGTATCATGTACGTATCAGATGTCAAGTGATGTAAGGGAATTTTTTTTTATATTGTCAGATACTACCAAACATAAATATTTAGGATTTTTTTTTTTTTTTTTTTTTTT